GGTAACCCCCTACACCCCTCGTAACTCTTCCAGGGGCGCACCTCGAGGACTCGATGCAATGCCCCATCCATACCATCGCCCCCAATGGCTGGACCTGGGGGCCGAGGAGGGGGGCCGGGGATCCCGGACGCAGGGCAGCCTAGAATACCGCAAAAGGGCCTACTCGGGACTTAAAGCCCTCAAGGAAACCACAGCAACCCCACAGGAACCCTGCGCACCTGCACTCCGAACCTCGCAGCCTGCGAAGCCCATGCCTTCCAACCTCCGAACTGACCCTGAACCAAACCCCAAGCCTTGCGCACTCTTGCAGCCTACAAAAACCCAACCCACCTCCAATCCCTGAAGCCTGGCGGGGGGAGCCCCCGGCGTCGTCGCGAATCGAAGAGGGCTCGACCTGGGCGTGGGAGGGTTCGGGTCTTAGGGAGACAGGGGCGGGGAAGGGCACGCAGCACTGCCTCACGACCTCGGACGCAAACCGCCTTCCAAACAAAACCCAAACAAACCCTGAAGCCTTGCGCGCACAGACGGACTTACCTGCACACCTAGCGAAGACCCTCCTACCGCAACACTCTCCACCCAAGCCCACGGCCCACGCGTGAAGATGAAGAGGTCCAGCCTGGGCAGCAATGGTCGAGCGAGCGGGAAAACCCAAAGGGAAGGAGGCAACACAGAAACCAAACCAAACCCCAAGAAAAACACGAGAGCCCACGCACGCACCCGAACCCGCAACTGAGCCCCCGAACCCGCAACTAAACCCTAAACCAAGTCCCGGGCGCGATGTAGAGAATGTAGAGGACCTGAGACCTGATAGGGCAAGGGCAAGGAGCAGGGGAAGCGGGGTAGCGAGGGGCAGGCAGGACACACTCCTACGGGGACCCTGGAACCAAGGGGTTAGGGCAGGGCCGGTCAGGGCAACCAGGGGTCGAGCAGGGAAACCAGAAAAGGGGGAGAGGAAAACAACCCAACCACGCAAACACCAGCAGTCACCAAGCAGGGCACTTGATAGGCACTCCTACAGGGGATCAAGGGGTTAAGGCGGGAACCCTGAAACCTAAAGGGCCGGGCGAGGAAACCAGGACTGGGACCCAAACCCAAACCACGCGGCTCGCTTTTGCTTAAATGGGCGGCGTAGCCGGCCTCCGTGTGGAAGCCCCCCCCACGTCACGAGTTCGTTCTCGATGACGGTCGCAAATGCACATTCTGAAGCTTGGATCTGATGCACATACGTCAGCTGATCTCGCACAGCGCTGCAGTCGCCGCCGCGTTCGGGATCTCCCCATGTCACCACTGTGCCGTCGGCCTTTATGGCAGCGAAAGCACGACATGTGGCTGCGATTCTCCTCACATTCCTCAGCTGCCCCTGCACTGCGCGGCTATCGCCACCAAAAAAAGCATTGCCCCAGGTTACGACCGATCCATCCGCAAGAACTGCAGCAAAAGCCCTGTGAGAGGCTTGGATCTGCTCCACGTTCTTCAGCTGATTCTTCACGGCACCACTGTCACCACCATCGGCAGCATCACCCCAGGTCACCACGGATCCATCTGCGCGGATGGCGGCAAAACACTTCCTATTGGCTTGGATTGCTGTGACATTACCCAGCTGTGCCTGGACAGCACTACTGTCGCCCCCCCACTCGGCAGTGCCCCATGTCACGACGGTTCCATCTTCACGTATCGCAGCAAAGGCCCACCCTGCGGCCTGGATCGAAGTGATGTTTCTCAGATCTTCTGATCGCGCCTTTACGTCGTTGTAATAGCCTCCCCACGGCACCACGGACTTATCACCCAGAAGAGCAGCAAATGCATTCATGTTCGATTGGATCTGCTTCACATTCTGCAATAAATGCTGCACTGATTCGATGCCAATGCGCCTTCCCCATGAAACGACGGATCCATTGGCGAGAATTGCAAGCAAAGCCATCTGCTGACTAGACGCGATCCGCAAAACGTGTTGTAGACCCTGCACACGATCTTCGCTCTCGTTCACGCTCAACTCATCTCCCCACTGCACAATGGAATCATCGGCAAGACCAGCAACGAAACTGTAGCGCCCTGCTGCAATCCACTGCACATTCTGAAGCTTGGCCCTATGTGCTCGGGGGACAAAACGTCCCCACCAATGATTTCCCCACGTCACGACCGATCCATCGTCAAGCAGGGCTGCAAATGCGCCTTCAGTGGCTTGGATCTGCATCACATTCTTCAGTTGATCACGCACAGCACTGCTGTCACCACCCCTGTCAGCCTCGCCCCGGGTCACGACGAATCCATCGCGAAGAATGGCAGCGAAGGCAGAGGCGCTGGCCGCCACCGGGGCATCGTGGAAGATGTAGAGGTCGCCCGAAAGGCTCCCTCCACCCCTTCCACGTGCCTCGGCGACGGTCAGCTCCTCGCCTGATAGGAGGCGTACCATCCGTCCCTCCGCCATCCTATCCTAAAAACCCCCGATACATCAATTATGCTACCTAGCTGAACTAGACTTAAAACTTAAAACCCTATAGGCTCCTAAGGTCTAACTTCTAACGTTAACCTGTTACTCTCGATCCCACAAAAATGGCCTAAGCCTAGGCCTAAACCGAGTTAACAACAAACCCCTCGATCCCCCAAAAAAAATTAAACCCAGGTTGATACCTAGACCCTCGATCCCCCAAAAAAAGTTTAAACCCAGGTTGATACCTACACCCTCGATCCCCCAAAAAAATTAAACCCAGGTTGATACCTAGACCCTCGATCCCCCCAAAAAAATTAAACCCAAGTTCATACCTAGACCCTCGATCCCCCCAAAAAGTGGTCTGAGCCTGGCCTATACCGAGCTAGGGCTAGGCGATGCACCACTGTCCACGGAACAGGCCTTTGTTTTCATCTCCCGTTCCCTCCCCTGGCTTTATCTCTCTCACTCTCGAGAGTTCAGGGTTGGAGCAACGGGTTACCTTGAGTAACTAGTTCGCATTGCATCAGGTGCCTGCACTTCTGGAAGAACTTGAAAAGCACCTTGGCCATGAGGCTTGAATGTAGAAGGAGTGACGCGGTGCGATAACACGCGGCTGTGCCTTTTGCATCTAACTGCTCCTAGGCTTCGGGCGTTGCATGGTTCTGGTTAAATATAAGCGATGCGTTGAACCCGAAGCTCAGGCAGCTGGGAGACTGCCGGGGTAAGGTGAAGGAGTGGGACGAGAAGAGGCGCGCAGCATTGCTTTGTCTTCTTGTTGATCCTTCGGCTTGGACACGAGTTTCGTTTCACGTCTGGCGATTTAAGGCGCAAGAGCTGGGCCTCCGCTTGCACCGCGTCGGGCTCGTCGCAGGATGTGGAAGAGCAGCCGAGTTGCAAAGAAATGTAAGAGATGCCGGCTGAGGGCAATCTCCAAGCGCTCAGGACGATCAAGGGAGGGTGGGGCCGGGGTAGGGCAGCTAGGGCTTATAAACCCGAGAAGCAAAAGCAGCTAAAGCAAAAAGGCAGCGGACCAAGTGTCATGAGTCATGAGTCATAAAGTAATGAAGTACATCACGCCCTACAACATCACACAAACCCCAAACCGCAAGACTCCAAAACTAGTTTCCAAAAGCTAAACCCAAAGTTCGCACAAACCAATAACCCCAGCCCCAACCAAACCGAACAACTCGCCGAACAACATAAATGGAAGCAAGGCCCCGGCCGCCCACGACAATGATGGCCCTCAAGAAGACGAAGACACCTGAGAGGAACGGGCCAGGCCAGGAACGGGGGTCCGGAATGGGCTGGGGCCGGGGCTGCAGGGCTTGCGCACTCAGACCTTGCAGCCTACGAAAACCCCAAACCACCTGGCAAGCCCTGAAACCGAAACGCCCCCACAACAAAAAAAAAACACTGTCACTGCATGGCTCAGGATGCAGCACAGCCACTGGCCATTCGCTTCCAGTTCGGCGACTTCAAACACTTTATTAATAACTCTCTTTTCAACCTCCTTCTCATCTTGCCCCTGTGATACTTCTTCGCTATCTGTCTCGAGGCATCGGTCGAGCGTTTAGATGAATTTTACCACCCAATTCACTCTCCAACTCCAACGACAAGACTCTGAGAGCAAGTGCCGTGCAAGCGGAGCGGGCATCAAGCGAAACACAAAGTCTCAGGCACTGGAAACAATTAGGGTTCAGGGTTTGGGGTTTAGGGGCGCTGTCATTTGCAGCAATCTCAACCAGATCGTTAGTTCCATTCGCCCATCCAGTTCAGCGATCAGCCTGTATTTAGCATTTAAATGAAAATTACCACCCAATTTAGTCTCCAATTCCGAGGACACAAACCCGTTACTTACTAAAGCCTTAAACCCTAAACCCCTGCATAATCCTAAACTGAAAACCTTAACCTGGCCAGCCTCTGTTTCAACGATACAATAACTCCTCTGATGTAGAAAACACACACAAAAAAGACCACGGATTTTATAGGTCACGGTAAAACAGGAGCCAGATTTTATAGGTCACGGGGCACACAGAAAGTGACCATTATTTGTGTGTAACCGTAAATGACAAAACAAGGCGCTCGGATTTTATAAACCCAAAGAGCCGCAACCGAACGCACCATCAACCAAACAAGTCATATTAGTTCAGCTGCTCATTGCGCACACGCCCCAGCAATCATGGCACGACGCGGGGAGTGCGAACAAAGGACGAAAGTTACACGACTCTGTGCGAAGCCAAGTGCTGCGGTGTTGACGCTCGTTCATGTCATTTGGTGCACAAGCGCACACCACGACAAGTCTCGCTGGGCTAATTGCAGTCGTGTCTGAAACTTCCGCGTTTATCTAAGAAAACCGCCACAGGCGAAGACTGAGCATTGTCCGATTTTGGTTACCTGAACTTTCTGCTTTTGGACCGCTGCAAGTCTGTGTGTCTTCGGGGTTGGGAGGTCTGTTCTGGCGTGTTTTCCGGCATCGGTTTCACTCTATACGCGATCCAGGAACGGTGACTTGCGTTAGGTCTGCTGCCAGCAGCTAACCAATTACGCAAGCAAACCGAGTCGGATCGACCGGCATGCGCTGCTTCCTCCGTTTGCTCCGCATTTGTATAGAACTTGTTGAAGCCCCGCCTTAGGCTCAGCAGATTTCTGCATCCTGCGGCGCATCGGGAGCAGCAACGCTCAGTCCCGAGCTCCAGCATGTAGTCCAACACTTGACCCGCCGGGCCATCCGCAAATCTTCCGGCTTTGCCTGCCTAGCCAATGCAAAGCTGGGAAATTCGCCGAAACAAAGGACTCGTCGACCACCAGCTTGCAAATTATCAGCAGGACTGCGAACCTGTGCATCCACATTACTACCTCTCTCGCGTTCTGAGTTGAATCCAACCGTGCACATGTATGTGATTTCGATGTACTTTCTCTGCCACCTTTTCACAAGCAACCGCCGCCACGACCGCTTCCCTGCCAAGTTGGTTGACAGCTTCGACACAAAACGTGATGTCGGCAGTGCACAAAAGCGCCTCCAACTGCCCTGCAGCATACCATCAGACCCCACCGTGGGCGTCTCCTTCTTGCACAGATCCCGCCATGTGCGACCTGAGCTTAGATTTTCGAGGGCACCGAAAGCTTGCTGCGGAGACTGCAGACTGAGGATGTGGCGAGAACCTGTAGCTAGCTCATCCATGAAGTTTGCCATAGCTACTGTACTTCTGTGATCACTGACTCGTGGGTTTGGTGCATTCTACACACGGCACATGGTGTTGTTCAGACTGCATCCTCTCCGACCTTATGCCTGGTTCATGCTCGCATCGTAGAACGATCAGAGGCATGTATGGTCTGAAATGCAAGCTCAAAGCGATAGTGCGTCCTTAGGTAGGAGCAGCTGAAGCTGCAGAGCAGACCGTGTTGCCCTAGATCTAGTGTGCCAAGCCGTTGGTTCTCCGTAGTCTTCTGCACACAGTACACATGTTCCTCTAATGGTCATCAAATCATCTTTATCCTTCGCATCTGCAGCGCTCGATTGCTCCCTGCAAGCTCAGCCGTCACTCAGCAGGCTGACCCAAGAAACCCATGGCTTGCCTTAGCTCACCAGGTCTCCTCAAGTCTACAGCGGGCCCGCTCCCCCAATGCATTCGATCATCAGTCAATGAAAACTGCTGCACACGGGCGAAATCTCGACTCATTGAGAGCACGACATGCTGGCCTTCTTTTGCGCCTCCCACCAGACCTGGCAGCAGTTAACGGCGCCTCGTCAAAAGACGTTATCTTTGCAGCCCCTGCAGCCGCAAAATCCATCAAAGGGGCTTCTTCGCTTCACTCAGAGTTGGTACGACCAGTCAGCAATTCTGCTGAACGACACGCAAGCGGACAAGCTGCCGGGTGCCTCCGCAGCCTCTTCTGGTTCTGCAGACAGCACTTCACCCCACCTGTGCACGAGACGCAGCCTTTACTGCTGCACTCAACTCTCATCCAAGCCTTTTCGGACCCAGTGCTTCGTGCATGTCTGAGCAAAGCTCGCAGACCATCGAGACGTTGGAGACATAGTCCTGTTTTGGCCGAGCTCTCTGGAAAACGCCCTTCCCGAGTCTCACAGAGTGTTAAACAACCACCATGGTCACAATGCCGTTGTACTGTCCGTTCCACCGAGTTCTGGCGGAAAGAAGTGCTTCCTTGGAATGGGAAGTTTGAGAGTCTTGGGACCGATCGGGAGCGTTTGATCGCGGTGACTTGCGGAGACATTCAGCAAACTAGACAAGCGACGCCCGCAACTTGTAGGTGCTGGCACAGTACATGCAGCGTCCGCCGCTTTTCTCCTTGCAACATCACATCTTGATTCATTACACCGTAAAAGCCCAGCACGCAAGAGGCTTCAGCTAGCTGCACGATCGTTCCTCGGCACCTTTCTTTGCGGTCTTCGACCCGATAAAGCCTGGCAAAACCACCATTCGCAGAAGTAGGCGGAGACTTCGGCCAACGTAAGACCACCAATGCGATGAGGCTGCAAAAACAGCCAAAATACTGCAGTGCAAGTCATTGCATGCTAGCAAATCGAGTGGTGCCTGGAGGCTTCTTCCGATCTTTCTGCCTGGCAGCATGTATCAACTCAGAAAGAACCTATCGCACCGACCTTCGTAACTTTTCGTGAAGCTTACCCACACCACCATGCGTCATCACGAAAAGGGATGCCAATGACAAGCTGCCGCAAACTGTGCCGGCCGAACAAGCCAACTGGATTTACCTTGCTTGCTTCCTTCACGACTCCAGATGGCACAAACCTGCCACGAAGCATTCGGGTCAGACAACTCATGCCCAACAAGCATGCAGAGCTGCTGACCATGCATGATCGAAATGGCGCTATTCTTCGATAATGCTCAACACAGAGTACTGCTGCCGCTGAACAGCCTGAACAGCAGCATCTGAGACCCAACATGCCGGAGGTGCCAAGGGACTTTCTGAACGCCCTCCACTCGCCAAGCTGGAGAAGCGTATTCCGTGGGCCTCGCAGCCACAGCACAGCCTGGTGCTAAAGGAGAAGTCCTCGACTGAGGCTCGCGGCTTCTTGTCGGCAAAGGTGGCTTTGAGCTTGAGACTTAAGTTCCAAGACAGCTCCTTGTGACAAGCACACGCAAACCTTCTCCAAGAAGGAAGTGATTCCCACCTGTAGTCCAGAGCCAGCAATTTGAGCAACCAACTCTTGTCGGCTTTCTTGGCCTCGGTGCGATGAGCCGTCTCAAGGCTTTTGTGAGAAACGCCTGTTGTCCAGTGCACCGTTCCACCACTGCTCGAAGTGCAGTGCGGCCACTGCTGGACGCAGGCCAGGCATGGCCTCACGACCCACCAGTAAGCTCGCACACTAAGCTCTCTCATGTCAGCAAAGCGAAAAATCCAAAGACCAACACCATGGACCAGGACAACGCCACGGCATCTGCCAAGGCTGCCATTCCTGCTGCGCATGATTTTAGCATACTGGTGCACCTCAAGCCCGATAACAAAGCACGATGGTATCCAGCCTTTTCCGCCCAATTCAGCTAAGATTGCCTGGCCAGTGGAAGAGAGAAACTTCCAAGCTGCACGGGTAGAGACGCAATGTTCCATCGAACGAAATACTGCGTGCCTCTTTCGCTCTAGCAAGCTCCGACAAGGATGGTGGTTTTCCATCGATCGCATCGAGCAAAACCGCCAGACCTGGCTAGCAGAGATTCTCCGGAGCTCCCGTCCACCAGCCATATCAAGTCAGCGGCCACCCAAAGCGCCGCGAAGGGACGAGGCCGTTCGGGCGGGGATTCCCACGACCTGCCGGGGCTGGAGAGACTTTTCAACCTGGGTGTGGGCTAATCTTCAGAACGTTCCAGGACAGACTCAAGATGGTAATCTATTCGTGAAGCAGCTAGTACTTGTCTGTTTACGGGCAGCATAGCCCAAAATCCTGTTTTGCACTCGCAGCTCGTAGTTGCTCCGCGGCTTCTGCCAGCGGTCCAAGTACTCTCTCAGCAAACGTAGACCTGACTTCGATGACCATACGGAAGCCATCAACATGAACATCATAGGTACATGGGCCCCACGTGAATATGCCACAAGCTTGGGCTCATCATGGTTATCAGCTGAGCTCGTCACGTAGCTCGACGGAGAGTGACTTGTCATTCCACTGACGGTAGTCGTAAAGGAACATCCTGAGCTCTGCAAAACAGGTTGCAAGACACATCAGCAGGTAGCAGGAAGATGCAGGAAGGCAACGTGCTGCAACGATAGGAATGCAACGGAGAATCCTCTTGTATTCCACCTCAAGGGGCTGAGTGGGTCGAAGTGGATGGCAGTAGAAGCCCGCATTCCTCGCGTCCGAAGCAGCTGGATCCACAGTTCTAGGCACTCGCTGCGTCCTATCTCAAGCTGAGCCGGGCGCCATGCCAGTTCCAGATCTGCCAGGGGAGGCGAACTCCAAACGCCCCAGCAGAACGAGAGGCCTCCCCGAGCCCGAACCCTCGAGCCCCCGAGCCTTCAATCTCGTACCAAAGCTGTCGGGATGTTCCTGCTTCGCCGACATCCCCTTGTATCACATCCTGAGCAAGGCGAAAGGTCCTGCGAACGCCAACAATGTCTATCAGTCTATCAAGCTTTTGCCCAGCCACCTGTCGAGCGAAATGAGCATCATGCAAGTACAGCTGCACCTCAACACTCTGGCCCTGGTGGATAAATGATTGCAAGCTGATGCAGCTTTAAGGCAAGGCACCAGCTTGTAGCCAAAAGGCTCCAGCTGCTCAGCAAAGGCAGCCAGTGAACCTGCGAAAGCTTGCTGTGGAATCCGAAGCTTTGGCATGCGGTTCACGAGAAGCTAACGTAGGCATCCGACAATGCACCATGTGGCCCCTGAAGCCACTTTCAGGACCAATTTCAAGCGTTGAGTCTCCTGTCGCTTCAACGTGCTTCAACTTGCGACGGGTGCCTTGCACTGGGTCCTTTTATGGAGTTGTCGAATTCCACCGGTCGGAAAAAGATGGGCGGAGGAACGAAGGAGTTGACCTGGAAGGCATGGCCGAAGATGTCCTCTTGTCTGAAATCACTCGGCTTCGCGGAAAATTGTTCTTGGCTCTTCTTCTCTTTCAAGCCTCGAGCACGGAAAAACAGCAAAAAAAAAAAGGAGTCCAGTCCGAAAGGTCGACATCAAACAAGGGCCACTTGCATGGCTTCCAAACGAGCTTGTTAGAAGAGGTTTAGGCGGCCAAAGTGACGTTTACCAGGAACAGCTAGGCTAGACTCAAGAAGCAGACTTCACGCGACCACTGCTACACCAGCTGCATGAACACCTATCCCGTTTCGCTGGCTTGCGAGATGCACTGTTGGAGATCAAACAAAACACGATAGGAGCAGTGTGCTGGTGCTAAATTTGTCGTAGAGCCGCCTCGACGTGTATATGTTGAGGCCGCAAACCTCTCTCCAGCAGAGCCATGACGAAGCAGCAGTCGCAATTATCGACATCGACCTGGTGCAGAACTACTGTGCGAGGCAGTGAAGTGCTGTGTGTCCATCCAGGGCCAAAGCTTTCAAAAGCAAAGGCTGCGTTCGCAGATCGAAGCCTCAAATTCAGCTTTTGCGTTTCTGCACATCCATCTCAGCCGAAATGTCTGTCCGAGCTTCTATCACGATAAGCGACAACCTGCTTCAGCACCTGGACAGCATCTGGTGGAAACAAGCTCAACGGAAGACCGTGCTCACATACATAGCACACGGCAGCTCGCGATGCCTTAAACGGATTTGTTGTATTGTCGACCACCCAAATGCCTTCTCTTTGGGCAAACACCTTCAACACCCACGAATGCAACGCGAGATGGAAGTTGCCAACAGCCCTGCTGCCAGAATCTACATGAGCCACATGTCTGCCTGCCGCACATGTTGAGCCTTCTCGGAATCACCTCGCCAACTGCTCGCAGAAAACAACAAAAGCCCTCAACTACGTGGGATCGCATCGATAATCTTGACTTCACGTCCAACGCCTTCAAAGAGAATGCCCTGGAAGCCGGCATGCAGCAAGCAGTTCGCTGGATCACCAGCCTGGCATCGAGACATAAACAACCCACAGGTGCGATTTCTGTCTGTGGCGTTGCTGTGTTTTACGCGTTCGCATGGGTTTCGACACCCTTCAGTGGTTACAGCAGGCATCAGAATGTGCAGCACATGTTTGTGGAATGGTGCAAGACGCATGGTTTTAGGTTTGGCACACCACACACAACGCGTTTGATCATTGCCCTTCTGTGGCGAAACGCCACACCTGCCGATGTGCTGTGCCTTGTCGAGGTTTTTCTGTGGGAACGCAAGCATCTATGCTTTTATACACAGTTTACAATGTTGGTGTTGGTCGTGGTCCTGGTCTTGGTGATGCTGTTGTTGCCACTGTTAGTGTCGTAGTCGCGGTTGGTGTGCCAATGTTTATTCGTTTTCTGCTTCTTCGTCTTCCTCTTGTTATTGCTGTAGCGATTGTGCAGGGGCTGTATGGGCTATGAATTCTAGGATGTTCTGGTAGGTTGCTTTCATGTGCAGCAGCAGCAGCAGCAGCAGCACCACCGCCACCAATAAGATGATGGTGATCATCATCATCATCATCATCATCGTTATCATACCCCAGCTTCCCCCTCGGCTGCAACGTTCGATGACGAATGCTCCACGGGAACGGATGGGGTCTGGATGGACACGGGGGTCTGGGTAAACATTTCCTCGGGGACGACGTCACGGTTCGGACCTGAATGTGAAAAAGCATGCGTTTGTCTGGACAGTTTTTGAATCCGTCGGCATAACGAACTCTTCCGAAGGTTCTCGCAGCAGGGCCTTGAAGACATCTAGATCTTGGAAGACTCCGCGGGCTGCTCCCTCAGAGGTTGTAACAACAGCATCCCACATGGCCCACTCAACTCCGAACTCAAACTTACCAAGTTGCGTAGGAACACGAGCCATCGCCGGCACCCACATTCACAACCCATCCTGCAGTGCGACCGGACTACATGTATGCCGATTCCTCACGTGCATCGCTTGCTCTTTGCATCCCGAGCCTTCTGTGTTCACCTGCAGAGGCGCACGAAGGGCGAGATGCCACCAGAGTGAGTGCGCAGTGTCGCAAGACACGCCGGTAAGCTCGACATGAGTATCCCAAGATGGGATCCAGTAGCTGCGTGTCTTCTCAAGATTGATGCCCAAGGCAAGCGCCATCACCCTGCGTGGCAAGCCCGACATGTCGAATCGAACCCCAACCTCTCGACTTCAAGCCCTCTGTGAAAACTGCTCACCCCCCCGACCCGCTAGGAAGTGTACAAAATCCGCAGAAGATTATCTAGCACGCTCGTCACCGGGTCTGCCCATGTCTGTCCTATTCCCGCCTCAGGGATATGTGCTCCTCATACTTGGCTGTATTGCCAACTTGGAGGTTATGGCCGTAGCATGGGTGAGCTGCGAAACTGGATTCTGCCACGATCGCGTTGATGCCAGCCCTGGGCACTGAAAGCATCTCTCGACTTTCTGTCTTTCAACTGCAACGTGCTGGGAAATGGTCTGGTGCGTCACTTCTTCCGGGAATGAAGTTTCATGTTCTTGCCTATACATTTTTTGGCTTGTTTTTCCCACGATTTTTTTGCCACCGGGTTTTCTGAACTCACATGACTTCTCGACTCTCAGTCTTGCTATCGAGCTTTGGGGCTCCATGGCACCCGCATACACTAAACGTAAACAACTCAAGGCTCACCACAGTCTCTCCCTCCCACCCTTCCCTCAGATGCACCGCAGACATGCCTAGGATCCTGGAGATAAAACCTGACAAAAAGTCTGCTCAGACTCCAAACCCAAAAGCACCACAAACCTTAAACCTTAAACCCGCTGAGTCGAAAACACCCAACACCCGAAAACGGCCGCGGGCCCAACAAGATCGAACGCACACGCACATACCACAAACACACACACACACACACACACAATCACACACACACACAGACACACAACAATTTGCTTTAGTATACGAACTACGACGAGTTTGCGGCCAAGTTTCTGCTGATATGCTGTCCCTGCTTCAGTTTCGTTGTCAATAACGAGCACGTTCGACACTTCTGTCCGGAAAAAGCCGCAAGCTCTGTTCGAGACTCTGGCTTCGTGCTCCCATCCACCAGGAAAGCAACCGCTGAATGCCTCCACTCTACTTCAAACATGACTTGCAATTGCGACTGTGCCCTTCGCCTCCCCTGAGCAACGGCCGCCGAGGTGCTGCGATGCATTCCAGCTCCATGAGGGTGGAAAGTAATCTCATGTATGCTTTGTATCGGCGGGGTGCATGGTGACGGGTAGACGTCCGCCAGAGCTGGTCCATGGACATTGCTGACATCATCAAGGCTGCATGCTGCGAATGGCGAAGGCGGTGAGGGTGGCCTCAGAACTCCAGGGCGGACTAAAGGCACAGCTTGGACTCCAATCTCGCCGTGCAAAATGCAGTCAATTGGCAGTCTGGAGTCGAGGGCTCCACCAGATCCTGTGCTTTGGAACGTGACCCATCCGAACATCGTTTCCCATGGTACAGCGCGACGGAGGGCAGCATTTATAAACAAGCACTGCCTGATTGCCTCAGTCACCCCCTGCACTGCCTCCACAGCAAGCGCCAGTGGTGGACAGCTGTACCCAGTAGTAGTGCCATGGCTGCCGTAGTTGAGTTGTGTATCTGCAGCCATCTAATGCGAACTGGCACCGGGCACATCGCTTTGAGCAGCTTCGGAGATAGCATCTGCAGCAACGAACATGGGGTACTCAAGTAGAATCCGGAAGCCTTGTCCAGCTGGGCTTCCAAATAGCTACGCACCTGCACAAGAGGATGATAGTCCGAAAGCGCTTCAGACTCTGCTGGATCAGGAAGGCCTTTCGGAGCTGTGCCAGGCCTGCTAAGCACACAAAGGCAGACATGTCAAGCGACTTGCAAATGCCGAAAGACAGCTGCCAGGCCTTTGTCTCGAACTCCTTCCCGTTCCTGCGATTCTGACTCTTCATAAGCTCGTCTGCAACACGGATGCTCGCCAAGATGCGAGCCGACAAGCAAAGGCCCGCACCCACACCTGCAAGGCAGTCCGAGCAAGCCTCAGTTCTTGGAGTGCCGTTGAAGCGGGATTCGTGAATGTTTCAATCATCTTACACATGGACAACATTGACCTGGACTGACACGTTACATGTCGCGCGGCAATGTACACAAACAAATTGCCAAACATGTGGTGCGTGCTTTTCGGCATAGACGAAACCGCCTGATTCCGTTTCTTCCGTCACAACTAGGCACCTAGAGCCAGAATTCCAAAGCCCAGCCGGCATCCAACCATCGAGTGCATCGACATGGTGGCGAGACCTACGTCGTTTAATTCGATCTCGGCTAAGCCCAGCCCAGGTGTCACTTGCTCGAGAAGAGAAAAAGACGCAGCGACGCATGTCGTCGGTCACAAACGGCTGATAGACTGACTGTCAACCAGAAGGGCCAGCCACCGCTTACCGCGGCCAGCTAGCGCTGCATGTCACGACCGCTCGAAGAGAAATGACTCTCCCTTAAGACATGAAGCAGCTGGTAATTTCCCTCTCGATAAATTTCCGTCACCCTTCGCACAAGAGATTGCAGCGTTTCGTGTCGTCACAGATGCGCTATCCTGCAACCATTTTGCTGCTACTAGTCACTGCTACGGGCCTACTATATGCTCTTTACAATCCAACGGGAAAGGTTCGCTCGGACCCAGAGGCAGGCACCCCTGCAAAGGAGGATGCTGAGTTGACCGCGGAGTTATCTTCCTGTCCGCTGCTAGAAGCAATCTGTAGTGGCTCTGTTGAATGCAGGAGACTCCGCCTAATCGCCATTGCTAGCCTGTTCTGGCAGAAGACGAGCACGACTTTGAGGAAGTCTGCTGCTACCAAGACAACCGGTAGTGTCTGTCGCATTAGCACAGTTTTGCAATCTCGCCAACCTGAAGGACAAGTTTTCGATTTGTCCTGGCATGAGCTCTCTGGGCCGGAAATTTGGTGGTAGCTGCTCCTAGATGAGCTTGCTGGGCTCAAAATCAAAGTTGCTCCACTGTGCATTGCAAGGAAGTTCTTTTGTGTGCAAGCCCGAAGTCTGCCACCAGCCAGAATCTCACGGAAAAGTGCATGAGCGTCGGGGCTGTCTCTGTCGCTTCGTAGAACACCGAGGCCCGACAACATGACTCCACGAACCCAGACAGGGTTCAGCGTGCCCCTCGTCGGCTCCAGACGGCTCGAGACGGGGCGGTGTTGATTGCGCCCTTCGAAAAATCTGAGCGGCTCCTACCTGGCCCACATTGCTTCGGCTGCGACTACGACGACGAGACATGACATGACGTTGTGCCACCCGGTTGTCCGCGGCATATCATTGATGGGTTGGTGCACTGTTGCTGTCAGATCTTTCACCTTTCGCTACGTACGGAGATCTATTTCGGGTATTCGCTTTCTGTCTGAACATTCAGGAACGTTTGACGTTTGTCCTAAGCGGGACCTGCACTGGTTGCCGGTTGCGGGCCTCCGCATCCGTACAGTCCTCTTATCTTAGGACTGTCAGGCTTGCAGGGCTGCCAGTGGAGCAGCGAATTTGATAAATTTGGAGAACGACAGCCACAGCAAACAAGTCAAAAACCGCAACCCTGCTCCGGACCCTTGCAGGCCTCGCAAACCTTGAACCCTAAACTATCCCAACCTGTTCCGCCGAGGGGTGGTGGGTCGGCCAGCTAGCCATGGATCGGAAAGAATATGCCAAAATCCCGAACTGCGAAGCAACACAATGTGGCCCACTGTCCAGACCCAAGCACTGAAACCAACACCTCTCTCCACTCAGCACGAGAATCGCTCTTAGAGCCCTGCATGCCAAATAAACTCAGCGGATCAGCAAAAGGTTTATCATGCAGCCTTGTGGCTGGAGTCCGATTATTCCCGGCTCGCACCCCAAGTCCAACCAAGCTGTGCAGGTTTCAGCCATGACGTCCTGGAATGCCCGCCAGCAGCAGACTCTGCATGAAACTTGCCAGGTATTTGTAGCGGGATACCATCCTCTGGCACGCCACCCACAGCACAGGAGGCAGCCACCAGTGAGACAGCTTCCTCGCCTGTCAGCACGACGACAGCTCGCAGGGGCTCACAAGCTCACATCTTCAGGCTCCGACTGCTTTCTGCGGCTTCGAACGGAATCAGCGCCCACTCAGCAGATTGCAGACCTTTGCACGTCCGTGGATGCGGACAGGTGCAAAGCCAAAGTAAAAGGAGCAGCTGCAAGACTGCCTACACTGCGTGCCTGAGACTGTAGCTAACTCATCAATTCCCTATCACTGAGAGTGCAGCTTAGCTCTTGCAAATTGATGGCTTGGGCTAGCAGTGACACAGACCGCGACCTCACGATGTGACATTCTGGTAAAGCATAAAGAGGTGCCGCTGACCGAGCATAGTGCAGAACACCACCGGGTCGCTGCTCTGGCATCCCTGAGCACAGACAGGCGAAGCATCTTCGCCTCTAGAACTAATGGGAGCCTCTTTCTGCACCGATGTGCGCTGCCTCGAGCAGCAGAGGTGCCTCAGAACGGGGGTGCCTTGCATCTTCACTCCAGGTCCAAGCTTAGGCCCGCACGACTATAGTGCTAAGAGAGGTTTCAGGCTGATCTTCTCGCCATGCACCTTTGCACGCCGTTGCACCGCTGGGCGTCGGCACGGAATTGGGTGTGTTGGCAGGTGTGCCGAAACTCTGGGCCCACAACACATGGCCGTCTCGGCCTGTCAAATATCCCCAGTGCACCAGCACATGGCTTGCAGGAGAGACAGCCCGAACCTTCTGGGGGAGATCATCGAACATCAGCTGCGTTGAAAGGCGCCTGGAACTGCTTCAGTCGTCAAAAGCCGCGGTGCTGCGCCTCCGAAGCTTTGGGGCACGAGCTGTACCAGCTCGTTTGCTGCCACATCTGCCTTTGTGTGGCACGGTTGACACTCTGTGGACTGACTTGTTGCCTTCAGAATCCGTGGCCTTGCGCTTTCTGCCCTGTCTGTCCTTTCGGCACAGTATTTCTTTCATGAAACAGGGGATGCTCTCTGTCTCGTTATCCAATCACACGGCCTCTGTTCGCCCGACGAGCCGCAGCAGCTCGTCCGCATTTTGCAATGAGAACCTTCGCTCTTCGCCATAAAACCAGCAAAGGATAGCAAATCGACCAACGGATCTTAGAATCTCGCTGCTCCATGCTGGCATCCTCGGTTTCTCCTGCCAAGGTGCATCTTCTGAGCTGAAGCCTGAACGAAAGCTGCCTGCCTTCCGACATCTGGACAGGCCACAAATGGCCTTCCAGAGCCCAGAGCAAGGGACTTTGATGCTCACACGATCGCAACAAGACAGAAGAGCTTTAAGGCCGGGTCTGAGCAAAGGAAGCGAGGACTCGACAAGCTTCGTTGCGGCAGCGCGCCTGAGGCGCACATGGGGCACGGAAGATCACAGAGCAACAAAAGACGGTGCTTCCTCGCTGTCCTCGCCTCCTCTTCGTCGCATCCTCCAGTGAGGCTACATCCTGCCAGCCCAAGAGTTCCGTCTCTTTAACCTCCCTGCTCCCTGCTTGCATAAGGGCCCATACTGGAACAAACACAGACTAGTGACTGATGCTTTTCCACCATCACACATGAGCTCGGTTGCCATCGTGTCCTCGGAGACGGCTTCTTCAGGGAAGGCCTTGCGCTCCGTCCAGCCGACCTGCAAAGCAGCGATCGCACTGAAAACGCGGCCAAGAAGAGCTGGCATCGGTCAGAATATGAAGCACGAATCAGTCGTGTCGGTGCTCGAATATCAAGATATTTGTCAAGTACAGCAGCGCCTGGTGGCAGAGCAGCCAATCCACTGCAGGTGCAAAGGTGTAGCCCGGCCTCGATGAGCCCAGATGAAAACTGCACTTACGGCAGTTCGACATACTGCATCATTCATGTGGCCTTCTGAAGACAAACCTGATGCACTTGCTGCTTCCGCCCCTTGTCTGCAACTACAGTAGTGCCCCCCCTCTTGCATCAGCAGACGATGCAGCCTCGCACGTGAGTCAGAGCTTCGGGCGAGAAGCGCAAAGCAGGCCCACTAGAGTAGAGTTCAGTGATACCAGTTCGCTAAGAACTGTTGTCTTGAGGTGTGCCAGCAGCACGCAATCACAGCAAAGCCGTGGCCCTTCACAAGGCCTCGGTGATGTCGCATGCTCAGGTTTTGAGGGCACCTAGACATGATATGACATGCTGTAGTTCATAATGTCTGACCTTCTGATAGCCCACATCAGGCCAGCGTAGGTCTCCTCAAATCGAGTGCGTCCGACTGCGCTTTCCGGCTATGCTCCTGCTGAGCACGTGGCGGAGCGCTTGGGATCGCAACGGTTTGTTAGGAAGGTGACGAAGGGATGTGAGCTGGTTCCCGGTGCGACGCACAGGCGCACAGGAGAGAGCTGAGCAGCTGGCAAACCAAGTCCGACCAAGTGCTGGCCGCATCTGGCGAAAGACCCCGGCCTGCACACGATGGCCAGCATGGCCAGCGGAGAGAAGACGGAAGACGGGTTCAAGGCGCCAGGATCTGGCTGAAGTAAGATCTCTGCGGAACCAGAACGTCCTCCTCGCTTTTCTCAGGATCCACAAGGTTTTCCTGTCAGGGCACTGTCGGTCATTTGGGTCAAGCATGCAGCGGTATGCAGGTCGATGGCAGTCCTCTCCAGCAATGATCCGAAAGAGGTGGTCACTGGCCACCTGGCAGGCCGAAGCCGCTGAAAAGCTTGCGCACGAAACCCAGCCGCTGCTCCCAGAATGCTTTGTAGTAGCGGCTTCGGTTTTCGTGAGCAGGAAGCTATACACTGGACACCCATGAAATGCTCAGAGGCGACTGCCTCGTAGCATGCCTCCAGGCGGAAATTCTTCCGCACCTGTTGCAACGGTATGCTTCTCATGCTGCATGAACACGTCGTCCTATCGCAAACTTGCACGTGCAAGGCGGACCCACTTGGCAAGGACGTACTCTAGAGCAGTCAAAGGCCTAGGCAGCGATGCAACAGCAACATTGCACGCACTCGCTGGCCCAGTCTTTGCCGCTGCGACTGAGCACTTTGGCATGTTCTCGGTGAAGAAGCCGAGGACCTTGACGATGAGACCGGCAAGAGCCTGCCACGGAGAAATCTGCATCCTCGTTGGCCCGCTGCAGTTCGAAAATCTGCCTCCTTCGGCCTCTTTGGCTTCGGAGGATCCTGGCATGCAATGAGCCTTATTTTGGGATACCAGACCCGGGACCGGTGACCTTCTTCTTCAATTTTGGGAAGTACCGGTCATCTCCTGCATTTTCGTGTCCAGCAGCATAGGAAAAGCGTATTGCGGCATCAGGTTGCCTAATTTCCACTTGTAAACTTTCTTCACGAGTCTTTCTGGCTTGAGAAGACGAGCCAGTGCCTGCCGAGATCCGCATTCCATCAAGACGGAACGTTTGGAGGCTTGGAATCGAAACTGCAGCACAAGATAACCGCATGCAGTGCCCGGAAGAATTTGTGCACGTGCCCTGGAGTTTGTCTCTTGGCCTTGTCAGCAGGCTTTTGGAGATAGCCTGTTCTGAAGGTCAGCGAGGCCAATGCCTGGAATCAGAATCGCTAGCAGTGGACTTCTTGGCCCAACCCGCGAGAAAGCAAAAAACTTTTGGCGGTCTTTTCCCAGCAACTGCGCAACAATTGGATATAGCTCAAAGGCCCTACAGCAATGGAAGATCAACACGTTCGCTCATGAACAAGGCTGGCATGACTGTACATGCAGGTGATTTTTCATAGCAAATCTTGTGGTGCCACAGTTCATCAGACGAACCCGCTCCCTGCATTTCCGCACGTCTCCTCCCGTCCCAGCCTGCGATGCCCTCTCTGGGCCCATGCGCAGCATGGCCTCGCAAGATTCGCGCCGGACCACCTAGGACCTATTAGGCAGCTTGGCCCAACCCATAATTGGAAAGGCTTGCCTGGTTGATCGGGGCCTGTATCATGTCAAACCTGGAAGGGCAGCGTCTTATGAGCCGCAGCACCGACTCAATGACACTCTGACTCTGCAGCAGCTGAGCAAGTGGCATCTCATCACTGAAGCCATGAATGTCACCCATGCCCTCCGCCTTGATAAGCGACTCTGAACACAACCAATGTGCTCATGCGCTCGACCTTCATTGAACTTCACTGCTTTTGCTTGGCGGCCCTCTCCGAGGCAAAGGCCAAAGAAAGCATCTCCACCGGATCGCCGCCTAGAGTGGGGTCCACGAATTTCGAAAGTCCGCCACTGCACTCGAGCCGGGCATGTCACATGGGCACCGCACGAGTCAAGGCACCTTTGCGAATTCGGTCCTGCTGGGGCTCATCGATGAGAGCGATGCTCAAACTTTACAGCTTGAGCGATCTCTCTCCTCGATCAGCTCCACTTCTGGCGACGTCTCGAGAACTGAGCCCCAGATTGCCAGGCTCATCCAGACCTCCAAGTTGCGACCGAGGCGGAGTATGGCGGAGTCTCGGAGTCTCGTCTCTGAGGCCCACACCGCTCTCTCTTCTGGAGGCAGCGAGATGTCTAGGCCTAGGACAGGCGACAAAAAAGGCAGCCTCGGTTTGGTCCGGTCCTGTTTTGGAGACGGTGTGGCCCTGGCTGGCGACATGCCGCACCACCACTTTGGCCTGCGTGGTGACTGACGCAGGGAGGAGCGCCAGAGAACACTGATGCAAACCCTCCTTGTGCGACTGTACGATGGCCAGCTCGCCACTGCGAGCTTTGCTGACCCACTTGTCTGTGACCTTCATCTATCTCCCGCTCACACTTGCAGTGATGCCTACAGATTTGTGGACCTCAAGAAGGTGGCGTGGTTGCATCTCGGCGAAGCGCGCCTAAGGAGAGATGGTCAATATGCGCTGGACGATGTCGCGGATCACGTGCAAATGCGAAGTGCCACCTTGAACACTTTGTCTTTCGCCGCTTCGTACAGGAAGCTCAGCTGGACCTGTGCCGTCACTGCTTTGAGCTGAGAAGTTCCAGGGTCAAAGACCGCTCCTCGCCAAAGGAATCCAGGAAGCTGATCAGCCGGGGCATCGGCTCCACGCTCTGCCTCCCATCGTCCCGTCACTGCCGAACGAAGCCCTGTCCCTGATGTCCCTGGCCCCGACCCTCTCTGAGCCTGAGGAGAGCAGGGAAGGACTTCTCGAGGGTCGTGCGGAAAAAGGGCAGATACTTCTTGACCAAATCCACCTGTCAGAGACTCGGATGCCAGCACCTGTCAGCTTGAACTGTTCATGGGATTTGAGCCTGGTCGTGGAATGCCCGGATCATCCGAACCGTGTCCTCCTCTCGTGACTCCAGAGCAGATGCCACCTCCAGCAGGGAAGCGCGATTCGACTTGCAGCTTACAGCAGCCGTGTTGTCTGATCGAGACAATGCTCCTACCTCCAGCTGGTAGTTCCGGCAGTGCTTCAGCAAAGCCTGCCGTCAGTGCCAGCGAACACGACATTGTAAAGAGAGACATCGACTTCAATGACAGTCAGATCCCGGATCCTGATTGCTCCAAACCTGTGTCTGGGCTGCGGGCTCGAAGGCCCTGGCCGCTTTCCCCGAGGTAGTCTTGGGGCAGCAAATCCTCGCACTTGGATCCAGTTGGAGCAGGTTCTGGGCAGAGCCCCTGGGTTTGAGTAGCCGTTTCCTCTGCGAGTGCAGGAACCTGTGAACGTTATATGGGACGCCTTGGCACTCTCATGAAACATGTCAATGTACATTATCGTCATACAGGAGCTGGACTCACGTGTTGGTCGTGCACACTTGCCCGCTTGCAGCATATTTCAGAAAGGTTGCACCAAGACGGTTCGGACCTGGAAGCCTCTTATCTTCACAGGCCTGCAGATTCCATGGCCAAGATGTCTGACCAACGAAATAACAACACATAGACTTGAAAGAATCTTGCAAGACTTCAGATAGAATCGCCTGGAAGGGGTTCCCAACCAAATCTACAGTGTATGCCTACTTGCAGGGCTTGAGACCGAGGGCCACACGTCGCCAGCTGTATGTCGCAACTCGCTGTATCGAAGCAGTGCCCTACAAGGGCGGGAAATCAAAGCAAGCCAAGATCTGGATAACGTCTTTCGTGCCCACATCAAACCTCTATGTATTATCCTGCCTGATTGTCAAGGTCGCATCCATCTTCGGTCTCCGAGTTCTGTCCTTTGATCACATGCTAACGACTGAAAGTTCAGGCGGGCGGATGCCCTAAAGTTGGGCCACGACCAGCCCCTTCTCAGGATTCGATAAAAACGAGCCTGAGCATGGCATAAAACCAGGTTCAATCACCAAGCTGGGTCCACGTCTAGCGGGCGAACCGGATGCCGACGCCAGGGCTTTGCACAGCGTCCTGGTTCGCAAATCCATTCAAACACATGGTCGTGGACAAAGTCGAAAACAAAAGGCCAACTCGGAAAACAACCGGAGTTGAAAGTCAAGTTCCTGAACACACGGGAGACAGATTGAGCAAACCTTGGATCGGGCCGTTTTCAAGCTAAACTACACCATCAATCACAAGCATCCCACTGTTGGTGCATGAGTGGTGTATGCAGGCGGCCTTTTGCAGGGTGGAAGGGTGCAGACGCCGACTCCCAAAGATTTTTCCCCTCGGCCGAATGCCCGAACCAAATGCAAATTGCGGGGTTCAACCTCTCGGGGACCCGCACCTGTCGTGCTGGACCCCATCCCAAAAATCACAAGTCCTGTGTCGTCCCACGAAAAGCCGGTCGGGAGGCAGGCACCACCCCACCGGGCACCCTGCCGAACCACGGGTGAGGTCTTCCAGAATTCATTTGATCAGCAGAGTAAAGCATGCAAGGAAAGGGCTCAACAGTAGCCGCAAAATGCAGGTGAAACTTTCAAAACTCAGGATGGGAGTTTGCCCGCCCAAGTGTTGAAATCGATGTTGACGTGCGAAGCGCCACCTGCATTCCGTGGCGGTGTAGCTGAAGAAGGATCTCATCAGGATGATTGAAGTAAGCGTCTTCTTTGATGTGTCGTGAAAGAGCGAGTATATTGGTTGTCGCTGGCAATCGGAGTCCGCAGATGCGGGATGAGGCAGGAGCTGTATCCGTGAGGAAGTGGCAGAGAACACGCATGCCGAACATGTCAAGGGCTGCAATTCGTTTCTTACGGCATCCCTTGTCGAAGGCCCAGGGTGCACCTCCGGCAGAATCTGGTAGTGAAACTAGAAAACATCCGATTTGGACGGGTCGGAGAGCCAGCCGTCAAGGAACCCCCTCAGCAAAAGCCCTTTGATCACTTGCTCCGGTCTTGGTCCAGATGGACATGGGGGCGTAAGGCCTGGCTTGTCGAAATTTCTGCTCGAGAAGTAAGAGCAACAGTGCTGCAAAAGCCCGAATGTCGCCCCTCTATGAGGCAAGATTTCTTCCATGCCCAACAGAGCCTTAGGAAGGTCAGACGTAGCGGCCCACTGGTCAGCAACACACCCCAATCGACACAGATGCGGATTCAAGCCTGTCCTCAACGAATCACTCGTCAAAGCATGTTCCACCCCGCGAGAAGCTGGGTGAACATAGATGTCCTGTGCTTGCCACGACGTCACGTGGATAATCCAATGGCTGCTCGGCTGATCGGCTCGGGCCTGGGAGGCTTGCGGCAGCAGCGCCTGGCCTCAGATCGGTGCTTCGCTGCCACTGGCAAACGACACTTCGCGACTGAAAAGTGTCTAAGACATGGGCTATCTGCTTGCATGTACGGCGGCAGCGGTGGTCGCACGAGTTTGCCCATAGCCTGTGTGCTAGCAGGCACTCAGACACCCTGACAGGACTGCCACATGCGAGCAAATTTGCCACGGCACCTGCCGCGCAGTTCGATAGCGTCTTCGGCGAGTCAGTCCACGACCTTCATTGAAGTCCACATCAAGACTCCACACTTTTGCGAGTGACTCTAGTCCTGCCTGTCAAGCCCAGGCAGATGGATGCGATGCAGAGCTCCCACGTTGCCTGTCAGCCCAACACGCGCCATAGCGGCAGTGGCTCTGCCTTTGCAGCCACTCAGCTGCACAGAGAGCTTTCCGGAATACTGGGAACCCGGCGGTGTTTGCAAACACCCCGGCCTCACCTTTCCAGAGTCGGACCCTCCAATCTGCCCGTACACATCCGACTCAGCTACTGCTCGCTGCTGGCACACACAGCCGAAGCACATCCTACTCTTGTCGGGAAAGATGGTGGCCTGGGTCCATGCAATGAAGCGTTCGCATAGCCTGGCAAACGACACGAGCCAGGTGCAGGCTTGAACGATGTCTCAATCGCAAAGAGCCTTAGCAGAAGTCCTAGACCTGGAGGATGAGGACGAGCCACCTGTTCGCCCGAAGTGCTTCCATGCAACAGCAACCACTTCGCCAAGCCTGAGCTCTGCATGGCCCATGCAAGAGCAGCCTTGCACGATGTCACGACGTCTCAGAATTGTAGAGCGAGAGACAGAGAGAGAGAGAGAGAGAGAGAGAGAGAGAGAGAGAGAGAGAGAGAGAGAGAGAGAGACAGAGAGAGAGATAGAAAAGAGAGAGAGAGAGAGAGCGAGAGAGCCAGAGCCAGAGCCAGAGCCAGAGTCAGAGTCAGAGTCAGAGTCAAAGTCCGGGCACTGCCTCCGGTGCAACATTGCCCGCCGCTCGGGCCTGTAGGGCGTTCGGCCAAGAGCCCACTCAGAGAGAGCGACAAAAACGCTGAAGCAGAGCCTGCAGACCAACACCGTCCATGGCTTCAGTGTCTATAGTCTATAGCTCATCTCATCGTCTCAATAAAACAGGGTGAGGTTTCGTCTCATCGCTTTGCGTAGCTGAGACTTCAAGCCTGCGCTGCTGCTCGCTATCGCTGCTTGTTATTGCAAACCGTTAGCGAAGCTAGCTGCTGCGATGCTCCAGGGTGTGGTGGGATCAAGTTGTAGTTCTCACAGTCTCTTGCCACATCTGCGCATGTACACATGTTGTCTTTCAAGCCCGTGCGGATGTCGTCGGTGTGGCTGCTGCCGGATGCCAACTTCAATGGTTGTTGCATGGCGACAGCGAGCAATTTTACTCCAGAGGTTACTCGCTGCCTGCTGGCTGGCCTTGCACTGTCACGAATCTCAACCAAGCGTTGGACAGAAATGCTTGGGGGGCCCGGCTGGAGATGGCACCCGCCTGCTTAAGCCACACCTGCAAAAGAGCAACAGAGCCATGAAGAATCGATGGCACATGTGCAACCTCCAGCTTCGCCATGTCTCGTTCCAGACCTTGCAAGCCTCGAGACGCACCCCTACGATCCCAAAAACTTCCACGCTCTGTAGGGCTGCAGCTTTCGGCATAGAGATCATTGGCCTGCAACAAGCTCGCAGATATCAACGGGTATGCGACGGTATGTATTAGTGGGCACTCGGTTGGGCTTTTCAATCCCGCATTTGCATCTCTAAGCTTTAGCCTGCGCAACAGCCGGGGAGCTGCTCGAATCAATGCTAGCCTTTTCCTTGTCTTCTTTCAGGGCCATGCCTGAACTCGCTCTATTTGCTGTTCAGCCAAGCTCAACTCATGAGATTTCTGTCCTATTGTCAATGCACCCGCATGGTTGGCTGGTACAGGATCGCTGGCTTGGGTCTGGTTTGCTATTGCTTGGACGTGAAGTTGGTCTTAAATCAGCATGGATGCAAGAAACGCGAGGTGGCTGGCCTTCTCACACAAACCTGAGCTTTCAGGAAGTACGAGGACCCACAAGACGGTCAAGTTCTTTGGCTCGGGCGATGTTGAAGAGCCTCGGGGAGCCGTGACTTGACCTGTGCTCACCCACAGCAGGCTTGGGCGAACGTGCGATCAAGGCCAAGACAGACCAACGGTGCCTTTCGCAACCGTTGGTGAAGGAGCCGCATGGCATCAGAGTACCGTGGCAGCAGCTGCCATGAAGCCGCTGCATGCTCCGCCAAGGCCAGATAACCGATTGCGTCGCGTTCAACGGCCTGGTGCAGGTGAGGTAAAGCGTGTGTGTTCTGGCTTCCGGCCGCATCCTTAATCCTCGATGGAATTGCACGGATTTGCCCCACACGGCGACATGGTGTGTCGTGCATGCCCAGGAATGCTTTCACACACCTGACACAACGATGCCCGACTGTTTCAGTACCTGGACAACACACAGGGAAGCAGCGTCGAGGCGATTGAGGGTGGGAAGTTGGTTGTGAGCGACATGTCGACGGTACAACTTTTTGGGGCTAGGCCTCTGGGGCCGAGTTTTGGGTTGAGCGAAGCGAAGTCATGAAACCCATCGGCTCCCTTTGTGAGGCTCACCTGCATGCGGAAGAATATTGAGTTTCCTGCTTCGTGTCTGCCGGTGGGCATGCATGCAACTTGTCATTCCAAGTTGTCGTCCACTCTTGTTGCGTGGCACAATTTGGAAAAGGAAACCCTGTCAAAAACGAAGACGAGATGTTCGAAGCCGCACATCAGCAGGCCTCCAAGGCCAGACACCGGAGCCCTCTCGCATGGTGCCGTGCCCAGTGAGTGCTGGCACCATAAGCGACGATTTTCGGCCTAAGCCCCGCAGTGGTGAGGAGAGCTCGCGGTAGCACACTGACAGTTTCGGCTCGTAAAGCATATCATGACATGAGATGTCGCAGAGCCATGTCCCTGTCGGATGTGCAACAAAGTGATGGGAGGCCAAAAGGGGGGTTTAAGATTCTTGGGGTAGGGATTCCTTAATATGAACCCTATTATGGGAACCCTAATCCCTACTAAACCCCCATAGGCTAAAAACCCCTTGTGGCCTCCCATGACAAAGCCCTCCCGCATCAAGTGGCAAGTGCTGAGTTCACCACAAAGCAGAATCCACCGAAGCCAGGGCGTTTTCCCAATCTCAGCCACGCTTAGCAAAAAGGCGAAGGTGAGCCAATTCGCAGAACAAGGTCGACGCTGTCAAAGTCTCGATACACGAAGCCTGAAGCCGAGAGATGCCGAGAGGCAGGGCGGCAACAAGAAGCTGACTTCACGCCGTCTCTGTCACTGCCACGCAACTCCCTTTTTGGGGCGTCCAAATCTATTGTCCGTCGGACTATCTTACATCAAGGCATAGGTCGGGCCGCAAAACGGATCAGAGTTGCCAAGCTGCATCGCTACATTGCATCTTTGTGAAACCAGAAGCACTTCCACGGCAGCTGTTCTACCTCACTTTGAGTTGGGTCAGGGCTACTGCAGCTTCTGGGACGCGTGAACTCATTCGTCGTCCTCCGGAATTGGATAAACCTCAAGCCGAAAGCCGCTGCCAGTGCTGAGAAACTGCTGAAACATTTTGATCTAGAGCCAAGGCACATAAGGGTTGTGGCGGTAAAGCTTGCCCTGGTTGATAGAATCCCTGAGAAGGGATGGACTCCACGGAGGAGCCGGCTGAGTCCAATATGCAGACAACGTGTATATTTCGAAACCAAGCCACCAAATGTGGTCCCACATTCGACTCCAGCAATACCTTCGTTGTACCCGTCGGAGCGAGCCATAATATGATCGCACTACCACTTCATCACCGTTGCGTGCGCTTCGCAAAACATCATGCCATGATGCCCACCAATGATACTGGTCCACACAATGAAGCCATAGAAACGCGGAGAGCCTCCGTGCTGCAGGCATGTCAGCAAACTACGAGCTACCAAGCCAGCTCAAACCAATCCAAGAAGCTCTTCAAAAAGGTCTCGTAGATACGGGTGGAGTTGAAAGCACGAAAGAACCAGTCCATCTTGTCCTGCCCACGAACGTGAACAGTTGCCGAGCCAGCGGTTTGGCTGATTCGCCTTCCCCTTCTTCCGCTGTCCTGCCCTTCGCGGCGGTTTGCTGCCCATCTCTCAATCCAAGCTGGTTCATGATCCTGAGACACATGCACAATCACGCACACATGAAAGTGGGAATCATTCGTCTTGCCGCGCCTTGGGCGAGCCGAAGCCACCCCACCTTCCAAGGGCCGCAGACATGAAACAACTCGGTTGGCGGTCGGTTTGGTCTGCCCTCCACCTTGGCTTGCTGCGAGCCAAAGCAGCTTGGAGAAATCTGGAGCGGGACAAGAGCGGCATGGCCACACCTTCAGAAGCAGTTTGTCGCTTGCGCTCAGTACATGTGGCCAGGGGCAGTGGCCTGGATGAGCGCGCGAGCACAAACCCGCCGGATGTTGCAAGCCCTGAGGTCGGCCACCGGAATCGAAGACGCCGTGAGAGGAAGAAGCCGCGTGGGCGAGTCAGGTGGAGATGCAGGGAGAACACGGAGGGAGAGAAACAGAGACAGACAGACAGACAACAGAGAGAGCGAGAGACGGACAGACAGACACACAGACAGACGGACGGACGGACAAACAGACAGACAGACGGACAGACGCCGGGCAGGCAGGCAGGCAGGCAAAAGAGTTTGAGGGCATCAGAGAAGGCGTGGCACGCGTTCTTCCAATAGGAAACGATTGCAACAAGCAGCAACACGCCTTCAAGGGGCCGCAGTCCAAGCGCACACTACAGTCGTTCGAGCCGACATTGCCAACGTCAAAATCAAGCCCGTCAGAGGATGTTGCTCAACGACAAGAGACAAACGACAAAGAGCACCCAGTGCCTGCTGGCCGACCTCGCTCTTGCCGCATCTTGCAAAGCCCTGTCCAACTCACTTCAAGCTCTGTGCGGTAAACTGGGCCGACATGCGAAGTTTGGAGCTACCTACGAAAGAGGGAGACCAGATATCAGCGTCTTTCACTGCTCTAGCAAAGCGGCTGGCTTGGAATCAAGAGAGCTCTTCACACAGGCTGCAAGATTCCACGCCGTGCACGCCTGCATGAGCAGTCTTCATTGCATGCGCCAGCTGGGTCTCCTTTTCCAACGCACAGCAACATCATAACAACACTCACCCGACGGTAGATGAATACGGTGCAATCACTTGAATTGTCGCAAGTTCATTGCGTGGATTCTGAACAGGACCCGTATCTCTGTTGCAGCCCAAAAGAAACACCGTGGGCCGCAAGAGCCCTCTGACGGCACTCCTCTTGCCAGGTGTCGCTGCGCCCTTCTGCATGCTTTAGCAGGAGGTTCTCAACTTTGGCAGCGGCCTGAAACATAGGCGAAGGAAAGGCTTTCAGGGACCACAGCATCCCATTTTCAATCCGCAAGGTCGCGACCTTCCCCAACCCATCCCACCCTAGCGATTGGAAGAGCGGTGTTGACACTTGCCTGGTCTTCTTCTTCGCACCGATCGCATTCGCATGCAAAACCAAAGCGACCGGGAAGGAATGCTTTGCGCCTCAAAGCGTTTTGGACAGGGGATCAGATATGAAAGTCATGTCGGGCCCTGCATTGCAAACGTTCCTGGGGGCCAGACAGCTCCTTGGGAAGCAGGATTAGGTCGTCGGCATAATGAATTCTGCCGAAGTCGGCGTGAACAGCTGCAATCATGGCAACCGTGCACAATCCGCACAGCGCTCTACAAAGCATCACAATGGCAGCCGGCAGTACGTAAGTTCTGTTCCCTGTCGGACGGACCAGTCAGAAGACATACCAGCAAGTTGAACAACAACAACATGCTACAGGCATGTTCCCGGATCACGTCCAAACAGCAAGTTGAAGTCAACATGCCCGCGTGTCGTCTAGTCAAAGCCTTATCCACCGGACGTATAGCGAGAACGTGTGAAATGCCAGTTGACCTTTGCCGCAACTCCAGTTAGTGTGAGAGGCCGCTTGGATGCAACAGTCTTGGCCAAGGGTCCAGCGGATCTCGGTAAACTGAGCAGCTTGGCCTCCGGAGTCAATGCGGGACAGACTCGGCATGATCCTTCAAGCCTCGAACGGCTCAGTTTCCAGCCAGCAAGAATGGTTGAAGACAGACAACCTTGGCCACATGTGCAAACAAAAGATCACCTGACAAGCAGAAAATGCAAAGCAGCCATGCCCGCAGTTTTTGAGTGTCGGACTTTCGGAAAAGGAGCCACACCTCTTCTCCTGTCCTGGTGTGTGGCTCAGACGACTCCCAGTCTTGCGTCAAGCTTGTTCCGTCTGGAATGAGATGTTTGGCAAGGTCCAACAAGCTGAGGCGGAGGTACGACTGCAGAGATGTGCAGAAGCCGTTGTTTCGTGCGGCCGCCAGCCTGAGCGACTCTTGTGACCAGTTTGGCTTTCGGGACTTCCGACCCACCCAACCTTGGTGCCGGACGCTTTGGCTGCTTTCTCCTGCAAGTCGCGTGCAGGAGCGGGCACCAGCATGTCACATTGCACGGCAGTTGGTCGCAGTCATAAACCCTAGAGAAGTGGTTGACTTGCCGACCCGTACGCCGGAAAAACCGATCTGCACGCTGGCCGAACAACCGCGCACTGGGGCCCGAGAGGCCGATTCGCGCACACAGGATTCGTTCACTGGCGTGTGGCATCGGTGCTCGAATTACGGCTGCAGTAGCAGCCTGTGTTCTCGAATCGCGAGCGCTCGAATCGCGAGCGCTGTTTTATTCTCTTGAACCTCTGTCTTGAACGGGTGGACCCGTCTCAATCAGACCTGCATGGCGAAGCTAGAAGCCATGGCCACAGTCTTCACTCGGCTGCATTGGCCGGTGCTGTACACTTCAAGTGTGTCTCGAGCCAGCATCCGGCAAGAGATGGAAAAAAGGACCATGCCTTCTTCACAAAGTTTCGCCTCGGCTTTCTGGCTTGCGCATGTCTGCCGATCAGCACCGATGCATCGAAGTCACAGTGCCTTTTGGCAGTGACATCAGCGAAGTCGTTCAGACGTCTACACACTACCAGCCCGGCTGCTTACCATGGGACGGCACCCAAACCAGCTGGATCAGGGTACCACTACCACGCCGCCGGATGTTCCGGCACTCATGGCCGGCATCTCATCCTGTAGCGCAGGGCAAATCCACAGCAAGTGAGCCTGCCTGGGCTTTTTTGCCAAACATGCAAGCGACTTCATCTGTACAAGCCGCGGATAAAGGACAAAGGTAGGCCAAGGTTTCATGCACGGTGCATTGTCAAGTGCAGCTTCATGAATTGGATTAAGTGCCGCCGATGCGGCCATATTTTCAATGAGAAGCCTGAAATGCACACTGGTGACAAATGCCCTCAGCCGCGGACTCAGACCGTCATCGATCGGCAGGTTGCACGTGGTCAGCAACTCCAACAATGGTTGGGTGCGAAGCAAGTCCCGGGCATGACATCAACGCAGGTGCAAGCCACTTTCGAGTCGGCTCTCGCTGCTATTCGTGAGAACCTTTCGCAACTTTCATCTCGGTTTTGACATGTGAATACCTGTGATGTCAACAAGAAGGGTGTGAGTAGTGCTATGCGCGAGGTAAGGGCAAAGGACCTAAAGCGAGTGCCGCAGATGATGCTGAGTGGACGGTTGTCACCCATTGCCGTGTTTGAGGCCATTGAGGACAACAGCGAAGCCGTTTTCAGGTGCAGTGTTTGCCGAATCAGGTCGAGACTGCAGGCCTCGGGCAAGCAACATAGCGTCCTGCTGGTCGAGTTCGCAAAGGACCGCAAGCCCGAAGATTGAAAGAACGATGCCGCTGGCAACCTTCGACAAAGGGTGCCGGTTCAAGCGGCAACTTTGTTCGCTTCCTTGATGCTGTTGTGCACCAGGTCACGAGTGCGGGCCTTGACGCCGCAAAGCCGAAATGACTCATAAGCTGACTTGTGGAAGAATTTTAGTTCTGCTCCTCGGGCCCAGGTTGCACAGTGGGCTGCTGCTCAAAGCCCCAATAGGGAAGTCCACTAACCAGTACGTGCAATGGCTTGAGCGCAAGAAGGACGCGCCAAGTGCCGCGTATCTTGCGCGGGCCATGCGCTCATCAGGAGCCCTTGGACTGGCATGTCGAGGCCAGCAGCTTGGAAGCAGGCACCACGCAGATGCCAAGACCTTAGTGCAGCGCATTTGGATCTTCGAAGGAATCCCCCGATCAGTTGACATGGACCAAGCCAGGACCGTTCTTGAGCCCTTGTTTCAGGATTTGTCCATCATCAGACAGGTGCATAAAGGTGGCACTAACAGCTTCATTTTCCCGGGGGCTTGCACTCGGGGAAATGAGGTTGATTTGCTTCCGATTGCTATCGAGGTTGATGATGGTGAAATTGTTGCGCGGGCAAAATTTGCTGTCACTAGCGGGTCCACGTACTCAATCGGGTTGGTCAATGGTCGGTGCCAGCCGCAGCGCTAACTCCGTCCGTCTAGTCGCTGTCGTGACTGAATCCCGGACCGTGGCACGCCACAGTCGATGCGCACCTGCTTTTCCTGCTCACAGTATTTATTGCTGCTCAAGGAGGCTCACACTGTCAGCAGTGGCAGCCGCATCAGGGAACTTAGGCATCTTCCACGTGGGGGGATACAGGTCAGAGCCGAAGTCGTAGCTGACAAAAGCATGGTCGGACAAACTCGGCCGGCGCTTGGTCTGCACTCCCACAGCACACAAATTGGGTGTGACATACACCAAACTCCAAAGTCGATGCGCCTGATGTCACCTGGGCTTGTGCTGCTTCGTCTGGTGCTCTCAGCTGGCCGGTACCAGGGCAGAAGAAATGGGCCCCTTCTCCTGGGAGATGTTGAAATCGCCTAGGACAAGGAAGTGCCCTCCAAACGCCATGCAAGCTTCATGCAACTCCTCAAAGGCATTGTATGTGCGGTCCGGGCTGTCAGCAAGTCCAGAAAACCTCACGGCAAGGATGTGGTGGTGCACCTCTCCACAGGGCCAGGCCACTAACCCAGCAGCGCACCTATAGGCCGTGGTCAAAGGCAAGTTGACAGGGATCATTGCCAAACTAGAAACCAGCGCAACCCGATGCGAGCTGCCACGCTCTGGCTGGCTGAAAACAATCTGACATCCTTTTGCTCGCCATTCCTTGGCATAGCTCACCGCCGAGGTGGTATAAATGTTGACCTCTTGGAACGAGGCCACAGCCGCATCAAAGGCTTGGACGTTGTCATCACCCTTGCCTTTGCCCTTTTGGCCTGGCTTGGAGCACCGACAGGCGCGCTCGAGGCAGGCGGGGACGGGTGCATGCATGAACGGATGCGCTTGATCCTCCAGCCAGAACTTTTCGGAGGGCTGACTTCTTTAGCTTAGCCTTTTTCTTGCGCTTATTCCTAGGAGAGGGACTGGGAACAGTAGCAACACCGGCTCAACTTAACTAAACCAGGGCCTAACCGCCGAAAACCTCAAGGCCAAGCTTCGGGGCGGCAGGTCCTGGATGGCTTGCTTCACCGAAGCGAACTCCAGCTCTCGGTCTGCCACGCCAGCGTTGCATACAAACTCAAAGCAACAGCCGAGCGAGGGAGGAGCCCTTGCTGCCGCAACAAACCTGTGCGCCACACTGTCCAGTAAAGGCCTTCTCGGTCTGACTTTCTTCAGGAGCGCCTCAGCAAAGCTTGTCGGCGGGCTCGGCGCGGCAGCGCCAACTGTGGCTGTCTGCTTTTGACGTCGCCGCGGTCTCCATCTGGTAGGCCGGCCACCCACTTGGCTTTGCCACGGGCCACAGCGCCGGCTCCCACATCGGCGGTTGCGTGGCTTGGCTGCTGCAGTGTGCAGCACTTCGTCTTTCATCCCATGGCCGCTGCCCTCATCTCTCACTATGCTCGGGGCGGGATCGGCCGCAGACTTGCTGATGTCAGTCTCCTTCTCAAGCTCTTCGGCTAAGGCAGGACCACTGCTTGTGTCGTCAAAGGCAGGCAGAAAGTAATCACGGCAGGTGGCCATCGGATCTTCGGTTAGCGCCGGTGACGGTCGGGAACTTGGGTCGCCCATCGCCCATGACTCTACGTCTACGTAACCCATGCAGAGCCGCTTGCATCCCAGCAACCAGCTGAAAGCCTATGGTCCTTTCAAGCTGCAAATAGGACACCATCGATGGCCTGCACGGGGTCAGGCCGCCATGTTCCGCCTTGATTGTACTCCACAAGCAGTGTCGCAGGAGAGGAGACATGGCTCGATCAAGTTTTGTACCTGTGCCCTACAGGTCCAGCTTGTGCCACGGGGAGGCACTTGATCTGAGCCACAAGCTAATCGCGTGTGCTGGAATTGCGGGTGCATGAATTCGGGGTTATTCCTGACTGCGGCGCTGCAGATATCCTTGTCTCCAAGGGTCAAATGCAAGGTTGCACATGGATCCTGGCACGGATAGCTGGAGAACTCATTGTAACAATCTAGAATGATTGCTGATACTGATTTCTCCTGAACTGCTGAAAAGCTGACAATATTGAGGTGACTTGAGACCTGGTGACACTGAGTGTCAAGCGTGTGTGTGTGTGGGGGGGGGGTTGCGGGTTCGAGCTGGGCAGGTGCGAGAAACTCAGCATGCGCATGAGATCCAAGCCAACGGCCTTTGTCAAACTGGGTATGCCCGACAGCCAGCGGAAAGCCTTGTTGCCAAGCGGCAGACGCTCACGAGACTGTTGAATGCATAGCACAAAAGTTCCTCATGCCTCCGCCTCGCTGATGCCATCACTCTCTGCGGCCGGCACTCTCAACTCACTGCCTGTTCCGCTTGCAGTTGCGGGCTTTGCCAACTCCCGGTTCAACGGCCACAGAAGGACAATCCCACCCCAGCCTTCCTCCTCAGCTGCCAGCACGTGAACAGCAGCAACAGCACCGAAGTCATCATCGTCTGGGTTGAACACATGGGGCTCCTTAGGGCATGGAAGTGCGAACTCAGTCCACTAGTCGACTTCCCTTATCCGACCTCGGAAAGCAGTAGCTCACCCGCCGAAATGCTCCTCGCGTCGCATATATCGCACACCGCATGTAGCGAGTACAGTCGGCGGGTCCTGTTTGCGAAATACCCTCTTCCCTTCTCCCCTCCTACAAAAACACATCTGGTCGCCGATGCTCCCCAACAAGGCCTCTCCACATGCAACTGGCCTTCGTCTCGAATCGACATCTTCTGACTGACAAAGGTGTCGGACCTTCATGCTCAACTGATGCCCGGTGAATGTGCATGCAATGAGTGTCAGATGCTTGTTCGTGATCATGTCACAAGCCAGGTTGCGGACTGCGATGGCCGTTGCGCATCTCCCGTGCAAATTGGCATTCTGGAGTGCACCTGAAGGGCCAACCGAGACGACCACATCTTCTTCGCTCCTCTGTGCAGGCCCTGCACAGAGCCCGAGCCCCTCTCATGCGGATCAAGGCACCAGCACCGCAAGCCTCCCGGGAAAGGGCGGCATTTCTCTCGAGACAACCAGGAAACCGACGATAGACCAGCTAGAAAACAAAACTCCACTTGCCTTCGCCTTCAATTCTCCCTATACGCTGAGTTGTTCCCGGATTCCGGAACCTTCCCAAACCTCTGCACCTGCCGGCCCTATGCTGTGCAGATGCCTTGCTGCGCTCAGCTCGTTTCCAGGTTCCTGCAAGGTTCCAAACCGGCGCAAGTTCGAACAAAGCGCTCGCACACTCCCCCTTCAGGCCTGAAGTGACCTATACTGATATTGTAAGCTTCCTTAAACCAGTGCACTCCTGAATGCTTTCCAAGACCGACTGAACGAAGTTGTCCAACCTGCGCAGCTGAAAACTTGCCCTCCCGTCTCTGGAACAGGTGCCCTAGGTGGTGTGTCTGAGCTTCCCGTTTGATGACAAACGTTGCAGACGCTGGTTTTCCAAAAGCCGTGGGCCAAGTCTGTACGCGACTTTGCTGCTGTCGACAGCTTGGAACAGCAGATGCGTTAAGGTAGTAGTGGTAGCTCGCCGGCGGCTCGCGAAAAACTGTAAAGAAATGGCTCCGGTTTCTAATCGAAACATGTGCTCCATCTGCCTTCCATGGCCAGAATCCAGCAGATGAGCAGAGCTGGCACTTTCCGCAGCTTCAGTCGGAAATTCTGTTCAGTTTGTCTAATGCGGTGCATAGAGGGACCAAGCCAGTCCGGACAGGCCGCTGACGACAACCACCAAGGGCACGTTCACCTCGAATACGGTCAGTTCACGTCCAGATGCAACAGAAGTGCTATGCAGCCTTGACCAACTCGATGAAGTAGTAAGCAAGGACCACCAGAGCCCTGCTTCCAGATTGCCACGGGCTCCGCGCCTCGGAGTCTACGACGCAAAAAAGAACTCGCGTCCTTCTCTATCCCCCCCCAGGTCTCCTGTAACGTGTCGTAGACCACAAACATCGTCGGCACCAGCAGCCCAACAGCCGCAGCATTTAGGCCTCGCAGAGCTACCAATGCTGATACTGGCAAGTTGTCAATGACACCCTGACGTAAAACGAGCACCACCCCGTTGACTCAATATCTTTTCTGACATCATGCCTGGTAGCGCATGCTGGTACAGCCGCTGCTTGCGGAGTTCCTCAGCTTGCGGGCTTTGTCGTCGTGCACTTGGCCGCTATGTTGAGGCCGAGCCACATCCCAAAGCGTGTAGGCCCCGAAAATCAGGGTAATTCCTGGGCCCATCAGGCCTGGCCGCATTCTTGACTTCTCTGCACTCTCAGACCACTCTCTCTCTCTCTCTCTCTCTCTCTCTCTCTCTCTCTCTCTGTTATGCAGATGCCTGCCCAGCACAGAAAAATACCCCAAAGCCAGTAGACTCCGCTGTTCAAAGCGAGCTGAATGCCCAGGAAGCCTGACAGGTGCCATTGTGAGGAATTTGGCGACAGGCTTTTCATGAGCTTCCACGCTGCCGGACTGTGCCAGAATACCGACGACTTGCATAGCGTGCCGGCAAGATGCAAGAGATGTTGAAGACAGGACCAGGCATCATTTCTGCGAAGGAAATCCCAGCCAAGAAGATCGTAGGAGAGATCCAGCTGGGGGTCAGAAACGTCATCAACATGGGGAGCACCACCGGCCCTCCACCCCACACGAACATGCCTTGGAGATCGAGCAGAAAGCACAAACTCTTCCACACGAACACAAGAAACCGCGGCGCCTGCGGTCAAGAACGGCATGACCCAGCCGTGATCGAAGGTATCCCTCCATAGGGTGAAGGCCGCAACTGCCACGTACCTCATGCTGTAATGATATGTCATGTGTAATTAACACAAACATCGCTGGAGCGTCCAGAACCGACCCCATGCCATCCAACTCACTTCCGCCAAGTGGCAAAAGGAAGATGCAAACAGCAAGGGCTACGGGCATTCCTGACATAGCAGAAACCCAGAGCCAGAGCATTCCTTCCGGCACAAAGGCTGCCACTGATTCGGCCTGACTTTCCAGTGTCCTGTGCGTGCTTCACTTCTGAATCTTTAGATGCCTCATGCACGAGACGATGGATGTGAGAGGATGTCTACAGCATTAAAGTGTTGCCCACCCCTGTGAGTAGCCGAGAGACTGGGTAGATGATGGTCGTGATGCCGCCCAGGAAAATCAAGGTTGGGTTCAGCCAAGCCGGGGCCGGGTGCACAAGCAGACAGATGGCCCCGGTGAAGAAGCAGATCTGAGTTGCAAGGATGTCAACATGTGTGTGGGGCTTTGGATGCCAGTCCGTCAATGCCACCTAGAGTCACCACCCAAGACAACCTGGTTGCCAGCTTCGAAAACCTGCTTCTTGATAAGTCCAGTGATTGCCACAAAGACAAGCCTCAGACACAGCTTTGTCATCTTTCCGGCCATCAAGCGGAAGGTGGCTCCATCCCGTCACGTACTGCCCTCAGCCCAAGTGCAGCCCGAAGACGCAACTCCAACAGCGCTGCAAGCAATCGCCTTAAACAGGCATATGCCGTGTCCAATGCACCCGGCAGTGCTTGGCAAACCACTTGCGGGAATGGCACCACCGCGTTTGCAGGTGAGGCAGGTTCTTCAATCTGCTCGGACAGAGTCTGGGACACCTCGGCGTAAATGTGTTCGGGACACGAGGTAGTTGCGACTGTAAGACCCACTTGCCCCCACATATCTGGGCTGGCCACGAAGCCCAGCAGTGAGAGGAAAATCCTTTGCAAAAGCTGAGAAGTTAGGAGGATTTCACCAGCACCCATCTCACATCGGCACAACATCATCCAATACTTATTGACGCCACTGTACAACTGCGCTTTAACTGCCTATAGCGATACGCATTTCTCGACAGGTTTTCAAAATGACTACAGTTGATTGTACCTGTAAGCAGTACAGGTGACGGCCACTCCTCAAAGCCTGGCTGTGATCTGCAGTCAAGTCGCGCACCAGGTATTACAAAGCAGAAGCCAGCTATCAAGCCACCAAGAACCCCTCCTGACGGCAACATCGATCGCTTCGTCAGCAGAACTCGCGAAAGAATGCGAGCTTCAGATGCACCTTGTGTGATGCCAATGGCATAGGCCACCTGGCGGCGGCTGGATTTACTTGCACCCGCTGGTTGACACTGGACTGGGCATGGCAATATGCTCTTGGCAACCGGCACGGATTCTGTGACATTATGGAGGTTCTAGATAAGGCATGGAAGCATATTGAATTATTGACTGATTGAAGCCTGAAAGCCTTCTCATTCCATGTATCACAACACCCTATCGCCTGCGTGCTTGAGGGTCCTGGGAGGCAGTTGGCCATCGCGAACAGCTCCGCAAAGCGTTCACTTGATAACCAACCGTACCTGAAGCATCAGCCAATGCTGGAACGTACGGGTAGCAACCTTCTTCCATGATACTTGCAGGGCTACACAGCCCTAGTCACTTCAGAAAACGATGACGTTTTGTGAGACGTGTCAAATCTCAGCATAAGAAGTACGTGCCAGTATGTGCCACACTCACTGCATCCCGACTGGAACTGACAAAACCACCTTTGAACGAGATACGCTGAGACGCAGCTCGAAACTGCAAGCACTTTTTTAGCCGAGGGGCTTCTCCACGAAGCGGGAGCGGAACATGCTAATGTGGACCGGCGGACCTCCGAAGGCCGTTGTGCCCATGACCTTTCGCGCCAAACCAAAAAAAGCACGCCATAGGAAATCATTGGGAGCCTGTTTGTAATGAACTGGCCTGGTGACTGCGTCACAGCTAGATTTGGGGTCAATTGGCACACTCTGTACGCGTTTTACCGTGGACCAGAACTGCTGCCAATTTGCAAAGAAGTTCCATGCCAGCGTGCCAAGAGACGGCGTCGAATTCGGCAGCAAACCTTCCTCGGGCGGAATTCAACAACATGTGTTCATTGAATCTGGATGGTGGGAAGGCAGGATGTGGGAAAAAACGTAAAGCTATTCACTTCTGGAAATGTTCTCGCTCTTGTTTCCAGTCGCATCACCTCCGTGAGGTCGGCTGCCCCAAAACTTTTTGTATCCAAACTGTACGAACGGAAACTCAACATCAGACTGTCCAACCCAAGCGCAAAATCATAGTGCCAGGATCATAACAACCATCCACAACACAAGACTAATCAGTATTGGAGCGGCTTGTACTACACTACACCTGCTAGCAGACCCACCAGCGATCACAGCCAGATGTTTATAAGCAGTCTTCGGCACTATGATGTAAACACGGTCAATATCAAGATACATAAATCCGTCCCTATCGAGTGAGAACACTGAACACTCGTTGAGCAGCCACGCAAACGTGGTCGACCACGTTGAATCATTAAGGGATCCATGTTCGTGAACTGACCCAACGATCGAACACCCGCAAGACCCTGGCGACGAACGATCATCCGGACAAGGTTTCCAGGCGCATATCTTCAGATGGAAACGAACTGGAATAGGATCCCGGTTATTGAACGTCTCGCACCATCACCACAGCATTATCAAAGCTGCAAAGACCCTCCCGCTCCGAACGCCCCGCGGAACTGCATGCCGGGGCTGATCAATCCGACCTAGACGAGCCCGAATAAGTGCAGATGAAAAAACCAACGTAACGACATCAGGCTCCAGCGCATCGCAGAGAAGTCTCATCCACCGACCGACGTAGACGTAGAACAGGTGACCCGAACGTGAGCCCAACAGGCTCCAACCCAAGTGGAACCATATGTCCCAAATACGAGCATCGTCACCACAGTGCAGAAGGCGAATTGGAAGTAAAGATGCTTGTGCCGAACACCGACAATGGTGAGCTTAGGACCCGTTTTATCGATCCGCTCATCCACTGTTTCGGCCCGCGATCACCAGTCCCTACAAAAATCGCGCGATCGCAAACCGCACCACGCCAAAAACGAAGTGGTTGGCAGCAGCACGCCACAATGTGAACAGATTGTCAAGCTGGGCGCCATGTCAGGCCCCACCCAACCCATTCAAGGCCAAGCGCCGACAGCCATCAGACAGGTCCACCGCAGCCACACCCAGACGTTAAGAAAACCAATACAAAGCGAACGATGGACGCCGTTCATTCATTAGCAGCGCGCGTCACGCACGGCCCTTGCCCGTGGCACGACAATCGGGCTCGAACCAGCACCACGTAGAAATCACCCTCCGGCCGTAGTGTGAAGAAAAGACTTCACCATCGAATCAGCGCCCGACCCGACCAAGACGGAATCATCTTCACGTAGTCGCGAAAAGGCGCCAGAGCACACAGTCACCCACGGAGTGCGGGCATGGACTTCCAAACATAGGACATAGGAATAACATCCAGCAACCTCGAGCGAGCATGACGACCCTAAGGGGTATTGAGTGTCTGCACCGCAAACCAATGTCTTCGAAGGCCGAACAAGACTACTAGCGCAAGCATGTGCGTGCGAAGTGCAAAGGCCGAATAGTCCAACAGTTCGCGGCTCCCTCGATCCACGAGGGTTGCAGGACGACCGGAACAGGCAAGGTCCCTCCATAGGAGCGACCGACGACGGGGCTGATGGACTAGGCCGCGCTTGTCGATAGCAGCACAGGGCCAAAATGGCAGAATTCGGCCATGTTGCAAAATGGACATCTCACGGACACACTTGCGACAACCGCGATCGTTCTGACCAGGAAACTGCACGCCGCAGGACCGTAACCCAAGGGGATCAACTCGACTGTCGGCTCTAGAATCACCATCCAGACGCCAACCGATGCCCTCGCCTGAGCCGAAACATCGACAATCGAGGCCCGACACGCGAAGAACGAGCAACGCAATGTTCAGAGAGCGGGATCTGATCGACGTTCTCGATACTGACTCGTGCAAAGACCTTGGTATCGACCCCCAAGATCAAGCGGAGCAGGATCGAGCCAGCGGGAGTAGCCCGAACCCAGGATCCGGAAGCCTGAACGACGCCACGACGGTCGATCTAGGAGCGTCAGTGAGTCAGCCGCCCTGGACCACTCATGAGCCGCGTTTAGGTCGAAGCTAGTCTGGCGACGCCTGGCTCCTGTCGACTCGGAATCACGAGCAGAGCCGCCCGCGAACTTTCATTCATGTATCTACCTGCTTATACGTAAGCCGAATGATTATCCACACAGCACGAGCACATGCACTGCCAATGCTACATGTCATGTCCTACATCTCCAAACTCCGAAGAAGCCAGCTTGAAATGAGACAAGGCTCCTTCATTCTGGAGCTTGCCCGTCAAGGCTCCCCCCAGTGGACTGTGCCCTCTTCGTAAGCCATCGGCGAAATCCGGCAAGCAAACAAGCGAGTCACATGATGACAACCATTGACGAGAAAACAGCCAGAAGAGGAGTCAGTTCTCGCCGCCTTCTCCATCCTGTGCCATCTGCATCGCGGAGTCTCCGCACCATGCCATCAACCTCAAACTCCCGAACAACCGTGAAGGTTCCGGTCCCCATAGATTGCGCTAGCTAGGTCTCTCGGATGTGGTTGCTTGCGCACTGCACAGGACAGTCGTACGGTACTGCTGGCGCAAAATCCTGCAAGGGCTTTGTGGACTAAGCTCAGAGAGCCCGCTATCCAGGGTGCCGAGACTCAACATAGAGAATGCTAGACAACGCTCAGTCTGAGCAGACCGGCAATCGGGACGCTAGATGCTTCAGCGAACCCGTGATATATTGAGCCCTGGGCTTCAGGCAGTCTCCAACTGATGCGGACGTGACACACAGAAGACCCAGTGGGGATGTTGCACAGGACGCAGTTGTCGAATCGATGCATGACATGTCAAATATCTTCCAAACAGTACTTGAGGATGGTTTCCCTGGTCACACAGCGAGCAAACCATAGGTAGGTACTACTGATCTCTTCCCATCTCCCACCCCCCGATGATCCGACTGCTTCAGCTGTGCCTCCCCTCAAGATGCCTCCAAGTTTCCTTCAAAAATTCGCAGTCTGCTTAGCACCCGATACGAAGTGTCCGGACTCACCAAATCCACGAAAACGAACCCAACGCTCCAGGCCGAAATTGACATGAGCGGAGGCACTTTCGGAATTCCGAAACATCCCAAACATAGGCAACAGTGATACAATCATGAAGTTCAAGACGAGAAACTCCATCTGACCACATCTGACGTTCTTGGACATCTGATGGACAATCGCAGCAGCATCTAGCTGCAGAATCTAGCTCAAGCTGCTTGTGTCTGTGTCGTGTCATCTCTCGGGGATCGACGCTGCTGCACGAGATCCTGCAAGTGTCGAAATGCAGCAATTTCACCTTCCGGTAGAGCTTTGGATCGCAATTTCACTCTTCCAGACTGGCATAGTAAGGCTGGGACATCTCTGCGACCTCAAATCGGGATCTCACAGAGTCGGGTCATGGATCCTGCGTAATGAAGTGAGGAGTCGGCTACAGCCAAGATCTGGGCAGAGGAAAGCGCGCTGCATCTTCCAAGACGTGAGCTCCCTTCAACTCCTGCAGTGCTGCAGAGTGCGACATGCTGCGACGAAAATTACAGAAACCGCGGTGCAAAACGCGGTGAACGGGATGACGTCTGAGCGAGGCCGCCTCGGCGGTGGCCACCTGTCCAATGTGCAACACCCCGGCCCTCGGCCCGGCCCCACACAAGGGAAGTCTGACAGCACGACAGTGACAGCACAGACAGCACCCTCAGCACCCTGGACCCTGCCTGCACCCTGCAGCGGGAAAGGAGCTTCCGGAGGGACTGCGCAGATGTGACGTTCAGCACGGCTGGCCCACCTGCTGGCTGCAACTGGCTCTGCCAGTCGTGAAACTCTTACGTCGTACGCAACACATACATTAAATCAGAATCCCTTCCCCTGATCATACATCCTAAGTACACAGCACTGACAACGTCCTTGTACGTATTAATTGCAACCCTGCAACATGTCTTGTGAAGGAATGAGACTGAACTGCAAACGTGAAAGACTAAGTTGCACAAAGCTGAAGCCTCAATCCGGCGGCATTCTATTACCGTGTCTGTTTCCTGGTTCTTCTTACTCGCTGTTTGTGCGGCCCACCTGCACTGTCGATGGCCAACCTCCATCGATCACAAAGTTGTGCAATTGTCTTCTACACAATCTCTCTGGCGTCAGCAGCGGCCTCAGTTCCGTCGGTCGAATGGCCTCCACGGCTTCCACAAATCCATACGTGGCAAAGAAGGCCTGTCAGTTTTCGAATGTGTGCACCGCGTTGCCACAGTACATCCTGTGCTTCACGGTCCTGTGCAGAAGCGAACTGGTAGCGAATGCGGAGTTCCTTTGCTGCATGCTGCAGGTCTGTACTGCAGCTTCTGGTCGCACAGAGGGACTACCTGGGCCCTTCAATCATGTCGGCCATCAAAACTATTACCACGAAAGTGTTGCGGGCACTGCGAACATCTAAGAGCAGCGCTGTGCCAGCCTTGACATCGCACAAGGTCCGCCCAACGACGCACAAGCCAGCATCCTGCTGAGTTCTGTACAGCTGCAAAAACTTTCTCTTCGATGCATCGACCGATCTCTGCATCCCCGCTACATGCTACAAAGCTGAAGCTCCTTGGTCCGGACAACATCCCAGCCAACTTCAGGCTGGCGGGAGTGGTTTAACCTAGGACGAGATCTGCAATGGACTCACAGAATCTCACAGCCATGCTAATACCTGTCCCGGCCAGCGGACATGTCCACGAAGGGAAGCATAGCAAGGTTCCACCGTCTTCCTGACGATGCTCATTTGTGTCTAAGCCGGCTGAAACACAGCATATTAACAGCCGCTGCACCGCACCTTGGTCGCCCACAGATCGTATGCCCATCGCACGGGAATGTGCAAGCCTCTAACTCGCTCTCGCAACAGTCTGCAGCTCAGGCGACCTCCCTCCTCCCCTGAGTTGGAAGCGAGAAAGCTTTGATGAACATGTCGCTGTTTGGGCATGCAGACTGAAAGGCGCTCTTCGCTGCGGCCTAAGCAATTCACGACTTCCCAATGCAATGCAAATGATACTTGACACACCATAGCGGCCTGCAATGCGTCGGTCACAGACGAGTAGGCCTGCAGAACGGACTCACCCGTATCAAAAACATCTCCACGGGCTCCAGATCCCCAGCCCTGGCTAGCTGGCTCTTCTTCTCCTGCGGCTTGCAGGGCTTGCAGAAGGAAAGCCCTGAGACTCCAAGATGCTCTGAAGTGCTGTGGTGGTTGTATGTGCTCCCGACTGGTCCTGGATCTGCCACTGCGGCGCCGCTCCATTGAGAGTGGATAGTCGCTCTGGCCTCGTCATGCCACTGCGCATGGAGACCCCAAAGCGTCTGAGCGTGTAGCAACGTCTCAGCAGGCCGAGACTGAAGCGTCCAGCTGAGAGGTAGGGAGGTGGACCAAGGCAAGGCCTCAACGGAGAGCCAGAGGTACTCAGGCACCCGCCATCTTGGGCTGCATCACTCCAAGGCTGGCACAGCAATGTAGTCTGACCAAAAACCACTCCTGGCAGGCCATGCCTCCTTACTTCGTGGTGAACCTCGAATTCCGAAGCCATCCAAGCTTGTCGGGATTGCCTTGCTCCCTCCAGCAGGATGAGCACGGCAAGCAGGCAAAGCTCCACCTGAGCTCGACAAAGAAGCCATTTCAGGCAACCTGTGTGCGTTCCGGTTTGATTTGTCTGTCGTTCATCTCTGGTAGATCCGAAGCTCTGCATTGACATGCACGGTGCACCCAAACGCAGCATCGCAAGGGCGGCGGCATGCTCTGCAGACAGGCCGACCTGGTGGCTTCATGCATAGCTGCATAGCTGAAGCAGAAATGTCACAAGCAGCAACACCTCCTCTGATGCTTGTTCAGCCCACTTCAGGACCGCTCTCCCTGCCTGTGGAAAAGCACACAATTGTTAAGAATCCCGATAGGGCGCTGTACAAGATACCTTGCCTCGTGCGAGGACAAGCCTTCAGCAGTGAACCATATCTGCCTCGAAGGCAAGGTGTCCTTGTCCCCCCTGACACGCTCAAAATCTCCAGGGCTCCGGCGCAGGAACACGAAAGATCGCTTCACCTTAACAGCACACTTTTAGGTTGAGGCTGGTGCGAAGTAGTGCCGGCCTTTGCTCAAACCGGAGATCGCCACGACATTTCGGTCCCCATCTGCCTGCATGCACCCTGTCTCAAAACTATCTGCAGCACCTAGAAAGGGACAACATTGCTTCATTCAACGACGGCAGTCCTCTCGTAACGCTATCTTTGCGGGGTCTGCGACACCACCCCTTCGCTGGAACCATGGTTGGACCTGCAACACCACCGCAAGATATCAGGTGCTCGGAGTAAAATGTCTTCAGGGGCCAAAACTGCGGCGCCTACATAAAATCGGCAGGTCACTCCGACAGCCCTCTCCGACTGCCTTGGTCCATGCACCTGCGGAAGCCGCAGCCGAGAGTTCTGCATCACCTAGCAGCTTTAGCACATAGCAGTCACAGCCTCTAACAAGTCATCCGAATCAATTGTGGAGGCAGGGGCACCTGGGTCTTCTGCGTAGCCAGCCGCAGGTGCGGTCCCGGTGCCCTTCTTCTTCTTTGGCATGGCGTCATTCTATCGGCAAGACGGTGAAGCCATACCGGTTACCGCCAAGATTTGCGATAGAACGGAATGCTGCAGTGCCGTACGCCTACGTTGAATTAGGACTTGAGTGTTATAGATACTCTGTCCTCGAATTTTGCTCCTTGAACTCATGAGATGCTTCAGAGCTTGTCCGTGCATGGATTTGCAACGCTGCTCTCTGCTATCACTTCTCGCAATCATCCCCGCTTGTAACTCGCACTTTGCGCACCTGGCTCACTGGTGCGTGTTAATCCAGTCTCCGACAATCAATCTTCTTTGGATCCCGGAGTCATTTCAACACAGATTGCCAAGACATAACTTCAACCTCTTCTATTCTATCGCTTCCAGGACTGCCGTCTCTCACGAGGTGAGCGAAGATGCTAGGTTGTGCCGGCTCATGAGAAGACTTCGACCATCTTGCCGACCATCGCCTCGACCAAATTTAATCTAGATCTGAGACAGCATGTCTCTAACTCTTTGCAAGACCCTGCCTGCGCAAAACAAGTTCTCTAACAAGCTAAGACGAACGAAAGCTAGCCACGGTTTCAGCGATGCCAAAGCCGACCATGATGAGGACGATGCCAATGATCATGAATATGGTCATGACGACGACGATGGTTACAGTCATGGCCTGGCTTATGACCATGGCGATCATGGCGATGATGATGCTGATAATGACATGCTGAGGGATGGTGAACACCACATGACGAGGGCGAGGGAGAGAGGGGGAGGAGGGCAGCACTGAGAGAAAGATTAATGGGATGATGAGTGACGACGACGCCAACGTACTTGTCCTATCTCTCACTGTGGCTGTTTGTTATATCTCGACCCGTCATGCGCAAGATCGCGATGAAGATGACGATGTTAACATTAGTCATGTGTGCTGATGCTGCCATACACTTCGATACAGCAAGACTTTTTGCTGGAGTCTGCAAGTGCCAGAGGGAGAGCACTTCTGCATGTGTACGTGCGCACACGAGAACGTGACTTCATGAATGTGCCATTGAAAGTACAACTGCTTGATAGAGTGAATGACACATGCAGCTGAGCGAGTGGATACTTGAGCAAACAGTGAGTGAAGTGGCGGGCGGGGGGAGGATGGGTGATTTGATATGTCAATGAGAACAACTAACGCCCTCTGTGCTTGCTTTCGTGATATTTGCAACAAGCATCTGCCGGGTCTGATGTCCCACTGGCCTCGATTTGTACGTTGGTCATACCAAAGCTTCGTTTGATGGCCTGAATGCGGAGGAAACACGAGAAATTCTAGAACCTGTCGTTCAACTAGCTGCATGGCCTGCAGCAAAAGCACTGTTTCTCTGGCAGTCGGCGCCACCAACCAAACCCTCCCGTTTTGGCCCACGCAGAGCTCGTAGGAGAAGTCCTCACAAAAACAGGTCGATGTTTGAGTGAAAATTGAACTGCTCAGGCTTGGTGTCTGGTGCCGCGTGCAGTCCTTGCCCAGGCGATCCAGGATGAAGCAGTCGATAGCTGCAAGGCATTTAAGTTGATCAATCGACCCGATGGGCAGTGCAATTGATCAGTTGGGCGAAAGCTTCGCGTGGAACAGGGTGAAACGATCTCATGGCACCAACGACATCTTTATCTCTGACCCCCCTGACCTAGAAGCCGTTGTGCAGCAGTAAGGGTCACCTGTAGGCCGCTGGCAGAACCGGTGAGGATATGGTGACAAAGCAGTGGCTGGACTTCGAAGCGAGGGTGAAAGCCTGCCTCAAAACTCAGCCCACCCTTCAACTCTCCCAGCAACACCTTCCGTTGCGGCTCTCTGCATAAAAAAACGGCCGACTGCAACGCGTGCACTGTTGAGCCTCACCAGTGTTCCATGACCTGCATGCTCAGGAAACAAGCAATGTGACCGAATGTGGAGTGGTTCCGAAGCACAAGGCAAAGGTTCACGAAGACCGGGCTTCCCGGCTTTTTTGTGTCTGGGTCCACGCACGACAGTTCGGTGTCCAGGTCCGGATGCGCTGCCTGTCGCCAGCTGCCATTGCATGCAGAGCAGGCAGAGCAGGCGGAGCAGGCGGAGCAGGCGGAGCAGGCGGAGCAGGCGGAGCATGGCAATCTGGCCTCTACCCTTGCGTACACCAGCATGCCGATCCTGGAGCCGGCATACTTCGCACGAGCACTATGAGCACAGCGGCCCCGAGTTCAGCCAAGCTTCTCCAGCAAAGGCCGATTTCTTTTCGTGGCTCCGTTCCACCTCCAAAGAAAAAGATCGTTCGCCTTACAACCCAACTACCCCCAGCATCATGCCCGACACATGGCCCACGCAAGTGTGGGCAGAAACGCCGGCGAGGGAGCTCGTATTTCGACCTCCACGAATATCAAGAAAACACAACATGACAATGACGGAAACTGCATCAGTCCCTCCAGCCTTGTAAAAGTCTGCACTGCGTGACATAATGATCCCAACAATGTAGTCTCCCTGGCACCAGCTGGGGCACCAGGAGCTGCTGTTCCGAAGATTCATCAGCCCACCTTCCGTGGAATGTACCTTTTCCTGAGATTTTCCACCCGCACTTCGTCCTCCAGTGTCCTGCTCAATCAGTTGTAATCAGGAATCCAAGAACCGGAACATTTCATGATGTGCCATGCCTCAAAACTCCTGCCGTCGTAGCAAATGCTCGTCCACTGTCGGTATCGAGGGCTACCCCCGGGCCTCAAAAGATGCAGAATCAACATGACAAAAAACTGGAAGCGCGAAAACTTGGCGGCCATCCTGACCTGGGAGAGAACCAGGTTGCAGTGGTACTTCATCGCCAGGCAAACAAAGCCTTGGCCAACATTGTCCTACTGGTCCGTCCCCGAGACCCACCCAAAATTCCACAGCCAAGGCCCATTCGCCATGGCACGTTCGTCGCCACCCGTCTCATTGCACGACCAAATGCATCAAAGAGTCACTGCAGCGTGTCTGCCAGGGTAGAACACTATGTTGAAAATGTACTGTGAATAATTAATGCCATTGTCAGGTGTACTGTGTGGCTTGTTGTCATTACTACGCTTGCTGGCGAGGCCGACGCCTCAGCGTGTGCCGCGCCCGCGCTTCGCACCCAAACCAGGCCCTTGAAGCATTTCTTCTGGCTTAACGTTCGTGGCAGTCGAATGTCAAATTCGTCATGAACGTGATGTTGGATGCATTTGGATGCTTGACCTGACACCTTGAGCTGCAAGCATATGCTACGAGCGAACCATTCGCAGTAACCATGTGTGTGTGTGTCGAAACGCTGATGCCGGTTTCCAAAGACGTGGTCAAAAAACGCGTCATTGCAAAATTCAACTCAACAGCATCTACGATCATTGTAATTAGCGCCCACCCAAACGTGAACTTGTCCGCCTGCTCGAGTGTCACCCTTCAACCGACGAAATTCCAGCAAAAGAATTTGCTTCAGCTTTATCCACACGTCCCGCTGCCTATTGAAATTAAGCAAGGCCATTTGACGGGCCGTGATACCAATTGGGCTACATCAACAACAAAAAACCTGAAGTTCCCCTTTAAGCCCACTAGAACATCAGCACAAAGATTTGCTGCAGACTTCGACTTCCGGATCGAAATCACAGCGTTTTTGTTGTTTCTGAAACTGTTGAACCTCAATGATTTCATCCTTCAAATTTGGCGGTCAGCGCCGGCACATACAACAGTGGCACATAAAGTTCATCGCTGTGGGTGGAGGCTGGGACGTTCGCCGAGAATGGAAGGAAAGGAAGGAAGGACGGAGTAGTCGTAGTAGCAGTAGTAGCAGTAGGAGTAGCAAGAGTAGTAGTAGTAGTAGTAGTAGTAGTAGTAGTAGTAGTAGTAGTAGTAGTAAGTGTAGTAGTAGTAGTAGTAATAATAATAATAATAGTAGTAGTAGTAGTAGTAGTGGTAGCAGTAGTAGTAGTAGTAGTAGTGGGAGCAGTAGCAGTAGTAGTAGTAGTAGTAGTAATAGCAGAGGGCTCCAAGGCTCATAATCCGCTTGGTGTTCTGCATGCTGTTCAGTGAGCTTGCGAACGTTCGTGCGTGTAGTGCGAAGCTTGATTCTAGGCTTTGAGGCAATGAGGGCAGTGCTGTACAGGAGTGCGTCATGAGCATTGTTTAATCCGCTCTGGCATGGGGGCGAGCGGTCCGAAGACGATCCACGAAAAGAGCATCAGAAAACGACCAGCCCCACCCCAGGACAACGGACTGCTCTTTTTTCGACCCCGAAATATCTTTTTTCAGACCCCACGCTTGGTCCATCTTGATTTCGACCCCGGCATGTCTTTTTCCCGACCTCCATCTTTTTTTTAGCCCCGCGACGAGGTCTAGAAAAAGATTACGCTTTTTTTTTTTGACCCCCACTCTACGATAATTTATCATACACACACACAAAAAGCATGAAATCGCTTTTAGGGCTGAAGCGAACGAAAGAAATTAAACTGTGTTGTCGAAAAAAAAACAATCAAACGTTTTCCAACACGAAGGAGGAGAAGCCACACGATATCGCTTTAGGGGGCAAAAGCAAAGAAAATAAGAATGAAAAAATACAAGTGAAAACACACACAAGACAAAGGATCTTTTTTTCAGCCTCCAACTTGTCTTTTTTCTGGCCTCTGCTTGGGCCGAAAAAAGATCAAAGTCTTTTTTTTGGACCGCGGCTGCCGCGTGGTCTGAAAAAAGACATCAGGGGGTCTGGAAAAATACCAGCCCGCAGGACAACGACAACCCACGATCGGAGTCGTCGTCGCAGTCGCTCGTACCCGCACAAGCGACTGCCAGGGTTGGCATCTGTTGAAACTCGATCGACAAAGAAATTGGGATCATAGATTTTTTAACACCTGGAAGGGTCCGGTGGGGGCAGGAACATAACCTGAACTTAGAGTTGAACTCGGAGTTCGAACTGGAATGCAGGTTCAACCCCAGAACCCTGCCTAGGGGTGTTCGAACCCCGGATTCGAATACTTGTGTTCGAACCCGGGTTCGAAGTGTTCGAACCGCGGGTTCGAACACCCTGCCTGGGGGTGTTCGAACTCCGGGTTCGAACACCAGTGTTCGAACCGGAGTTCAAAAACACAGTGCTCGAATCCTTGATTCGAACACCAGTGTTCGAACCTTGGAGTTCGAACACTGGTGTTCGAACACTGGCACAACGCTTTTGCAAACACAAAAAAAAAAGAGAAGCCACACGAAATCGTTAATGGGGGCTTTTTGCGAAGAAAAGAACAAGAGAAGGAACAAAAACAACAGAAGAGACACGAAATCGCTTTATCGGGGCTTAGAAAAGAGAAGAAGGGAACATTCACCAGTGTTTGAACCGTTCAAATACTGGTGTTCGAACGCTAAGTTCGAACACCCCTCAAATGAAGTGTGATTTAAAGGGACCCCCCTAAGGGGGATGGCAAATGGAGTTTGCCAGCAGAAACTGATGGTTGGATAGCAAGGCCTGCCAAGAATTGGCAAGAGCTGGCAAATCTTGGTTGCGCCTAGCAAATCTTAGCAGTTTGGTTTGTTCGTGAGGCTTGCAACGCCTCGCTAAGGCCTAGTAAGAACTACATAGCACACCGAGGCGCGACGTTGGTCTTGAGCGTTCCTGAGCACTATACAGTTTTGCAGAGCTCTGCGAAGCTTGTACTGCTGAGCGCTAGTGAGCGCTAGTAGGGACTGCTGAGCGCTAGTGAGCGCTATTGAGCGCTAGTGAATGGGTTTGGAGCTATTCTTAGAAACTTTGCTAGCAAACGCCGTTTGCCATCCCCCCTTTGGAGGGTCTCTCTAAATCATAAGCCATCAAATGCAAATACTGGTGTTCGAACACCAGTGGAACCCGCGAAGCACCAGTGTTCGAACCCAGGCCCAAGTTCGCTTGAAGTGTCCGAACCCAGAGTTCAAACACTTTTTTTTGGCTTGTGCGGGCCCAGCACTCAGTCCCTTCAAAAGGACAAACTACCGAGCAAAAAAAATAACGTGAAACAAAATTAGAGAGAGCGGAGCTAGCTGCGGTGCCCAGGCTTTGCCGGAAGTTGACCGTTCAGCACTTGCTGGGTGCTTAGCGATCGTTCTGCGACAACAGAAAGCCGTTGCCCAAACTTGCCCAAGAGCGTCAGTGGAGCCCAAGTCAAGGCTTGGCCACTCCGGCCGTTCTACAGTAGTTCCGTCTAACAACGGTCGACTCCAAGCTCCTGTTCTGTCTCGATCGTGCACGCCAAAATCTACAAGTCCAAAGCTCTCTCTTGTGTAGCAGGGTGTTGGGCCCACAATCGATCGTCTACAAGGAAGCTGATTCAAAATCGAAAGGGCGTTGAGCCTACAGCCTCGGGCCAAAAACGAAAGATCGACAGGGCTCAGGGGCGTAGGACGCAACGATCTTCGGCCCTTTAGGCCCAAAATTTTCCTCGCAATCGGAGCTCAACGATTGTGGACTCTCTCGCTTCCCTCACTCCGCTGACTTCGCTTTCGCGCCGCTCTCTCCGCGCACTCAGCTTCGCTCCACTCACTCGTCCGCTCCGCTCCCTCGTTCGTTCCGCTCCGCTTCGTTTGCTCCGCTCGCTCTGCTTCAGCTCCGTCCGCTACACTCCCCTCGCTCTCTCCGCGCACTCAGCTTCGCTCCACTCACTCGTTCGCTCCGCTCCGCTCCGCTCCCTCGTTCGTTTCGCTCCGCTTCGTTTGCTCCGCTCGCTCTGTCCGCTTCGCTTCGCTCGGTCCGCTCGGGTCCACAATCGTTGAGCTCCGATTGGCTCGTCCCAATTTTGGGCCTAAAGGGCCGAAGATCGTTGCGTCCTACGCCCCTGAGCCCTGTCGATCTTTCGTTTTTGGCCCGAGGCTGTAGGCTCAACGCCCTTTCGATTTTGAATCAGCTTCCTTGTAGACGATCGATTGTGGGCCCAACACCCTGCTACACAAGAGAGAGGCCGCAGCTTTTTCGCGTTTTCTGGGCTATGCGAGATACTCTGCGTGGCTACTTTGTGGCTACTCTCTGTGGCTACTCTCTGTGGCTACTCTCTGTGGCTACTCTCTGTGGCTACTCTTTGTGGCTACTCTTTGTGGCTACTCTTTGTGGCTACTCTTTGTGGCTACTCTTTGTGGCTACTCTGTGTATGGCTACTCTGCGTGGCTACTCTGCGTGGCTACTCTGTGTGGCTACTCTATGTGGCTACTCTGTGTGGCTACTCTTTGTGGCTACTCTTTGTGGCTACTCTTGTGGCTTCTCTTTGTGGCTACTCTATGTGGCTACTCTGTGTGGCTACTCTTTGTGGCTACTCTGCGTGGCTACTCTGTGTGGCTACTCTGTGTGGCTACTCTTTCCTGCAAACACTGCACTTGGTGCCTTCACTTGGTGCCTTCACTTGGTGCCTTCACTTGGTGCCTTCACTTGGTGCCTTCACTTGGTGCCTTCACTTGGTGCCTTCACTTGGTGCCTTCACTTGGTGCCTTCACTTGGTGCCTTCACTTGGTGCCTTCACTTGGTGCCTTCACTTGGTGCCTTCACTTGGTGCCTTCACTCTTTCCCGTCGGGAAGCCCAGACATGTGGCTGCATCGCAGTTTTCCCGAGAGCAGCGCGCGAACGCTTGGGGTGTGTAAGCGGCGATGGCCCACATACGGCCCTCATGGGGCTCCACTTTGTGATAGCGGCGAGCGTTGAAAGAGACGGGCTTGTCGTGCATGTCTATCCATGAGCCCCAAAGCTGCTGAGTGTTGCGCTTCGTAACTCGCAGTTCCGGAGCCGCGCCATCATCGTCTTCGACCCAGATCCTGCCTCCCGTGAAGGACCCGAGAGCGATTGCGTGGTTCGGCTTGCCAATCATGTTCAGAATGTCTCGATGCAGACCAATGCGAGGGTTCAGCACCACCGCGATGGAAGTCCAAGTCGCATCGGGAAAGCGATATCGCAGAAAGTGATTGAGTGCCACGCAGGCGTCTCGGTTGACGGAAGCTTTTGAGAGCATGGGATCGTTGCCTCCATAGGCGAAGAGTCCCAGAGTGCAATACTGCTCATACGACCCCGAGCCGATAGCCCGCTGGCGGCCGCGATGCTTCCACTCGGGTGACCACAGCTCCAGCAAGCGAACCACATTGTCTTCGGACGGAGATTGCATCACTGCTTCGCACGCGGCTTGCATTTTATGTGAGTAGTCGAGGCGCCGCAGGGGCACGATTAAAGTCTCGGAGCTGGCGCACGGCCAAGGGCACCGGCCGTCGGGTGAGCCGGGCCACGGGCTCGCCGCTGCCCCGGGGCACGGGCAGCGCGTGCTTGAGCAGGGTCTCGCTGCCGTCCGTGGCGCGGACCGTCATGGAGTCGAAGCTCGCCAGGTCCCTCGCGGGGCCGTACTGTGGCTGGAAGCTTCGCGCCGCATTCGTCGGAGCGCGGAAGGCGCCGGCCTCCTCGAGGCGCCGCTGCCGGCCCTCCGTGAGCTCCTTGTTGTGCTGGAACTTCTCCGCGTTATCCTGGTAGACGCGGAAGCTGGCGGCCGGCTTGGTCTCCACGTCCTCGGGCGCCACCGTGACCGCCGCGTGCGGCCGGGCGTTGTAAGCCTCCGCCACCTCGTCCACGTGGTCGCCCCAGCCGCCGCCGTCCCGGGCCACCTTGCCCGCCAGATCCTTCTTGAGCGTCTGGATGGCGCGGTCTATCACCGCCGTGGCGTTCCTGTCCGCCGGGTCCTTCTGGCGGTGCACCGCGCCTCCGGGCAGGGCGGCCTCCAAGCCCCGAAACTCGTTGCCCTGATCCGTGGTGACGACGTAGTTGCCCTCTTCCTGGACCAGGTCGGGGATGATCTCCGCCGCCGCTCGGGTGACCGTCTCGGCCCGCTTGTCGGGCAGGGCCTTGGTGGCCACCTCGTGTGAACACATCCGTCACCACCAAGCCAAATTTGTTGGCTCCCCGAGTGTTCTGGCTGAAATCGATGAGGTCCGCTTGCAGGCGGTCGTTCGGCCCCTCCGCCGCACTCTTCCCCAGACTCCGCGGCTTCGGTGCGGGCACCTGCCGCGCCACGTCGCTGCGCAATGCCGCCTGGGCCCGCGCACTCGTGAGGTCCCGCCGCTCCGGGAACTCCCGTCGAGCGATCTGGTAGAGCTTTCTAGGATCCCGCGCGTTGAAGTCTCGGGCCAGCCGCCCGAGCAGCTCCATCGCCCCGTCTTCCGCCATTTCTAATCCGAGTCACCCTTGCGCTTCTTGTTCTTCTCTAGGGCCTCCACTCTCCTTTGGAGCTTCTTGACCACGCCCCACAGGACCACGGAGAGCTTCTGGTAATCGAGGGCCATCAGCTCCCGGCCGTCCAGATTCTTCGTCTTGCACATCGTCGCCCCCAGCTTCCCGCTGGCCTGCACGTCCTGGGCCACGAAGCCGATCTGCTCGCTGCCGCCGTCGATGCGGTCGTAGAGCTGCGGCTCCACGGCGTCGAAGGTTTGCTGGAGCTCCTCCTCCGGGATGGCCCGGACGTTCTCCTTGAGCGCCCGGTCGCTCAGGTTGACGAAGCCATAACCAAAAATGACCTCTCCATCGTTGCTGCCCCCGATGTTGGGCTCGATCGCCAGGTTGGCCAGGCCGTTGGTGGTGTTTAAACTTATGAATTGGAACTGCGCGTTGAGCTCGCAATTGCCGCCGGCCAGCACCTTGAGCTCCGCCACGCCCGCCTGGTTGTTGGCGTCGAGGAGCAGCTTGGCATCTCCCGTGGGCGCGGCGTTGCGCACCACGACTCCCACAGTGCCGTCCGTGGGCCCCACCGCGATCTGCTCCAGCAGTGGGCTGAGCACCTGCACGCCGCTGGTCCCCCCCGACAAGCTCAGGAAGGGCAGGCTGGCCTCGGGGCCCAGCACCCTGTTGATCCGCACGGTGTCGTCCATCAGAATGCCATTGGTGCCGCCCTGGACGGTGAGCCAGGGCGCCGCCGGATCAGAGCGCACCAGGGGCGCTTCGAGCCTGAGGTCGCTCGTGATCTCCTGCGTGGCCGTCACCGAGCTGCTGCTCGCAAAACTCCCCGTGGCTGCGGTGCTGCCGACGAAAAACTGGGCGACGTCCGCCGTGGTTGCATTCAAAGTGCGGTCCGAGCGCACGGTGATGTCTTGCTCCAAGCCGATGCTTCCGGCAGCGAAGGAGGCCACCAATGTGCCGTCTTCGGCGCGGATGGTGGTGGTGCCGTTCCGGATTTGGAGATCGGCTGCAGCGCTCTGCAGCAATGGTGTCTGCACGAAGCTTGTGGCCGTGAGGCTGTTGACGGTGAGGTCCGCCGTGGGGTCCACTCCTGGGCTGTTCTCCAGGTCGGTGACTTTCTGATGATGCGAGGGGTGAACTGGGTCTGGACCAAATTGAAGATCCCACCGCCCTCTGCACCGGGGCTGTTGACGAAGTAGCGGGCATCCAAAGGTCCGAGGTCGTTGGTCCTCAGGAAGCGGCCGTCCGCCTCGGCCTTGGTCCAGGAGTCGCAGCGGAGCCGCAGCGTACTTTGATTGCCCAGAATTGCGTCGCCCACCAGGGGCGCCTCCAAAAGCAAATTGCGCACGATCCGCGGAGTGAACTGCTCCTGGACCAAATTGAAGATCTGCCCCTACTCCGCACCGGGAGCCCGCACGAAGTAGCGGAGATCTGCGTCCGCCTGGGTTTGGAAGCCCGCGCCGGCGATGGCATCGTCGATCTCCGTTTGGGTGCGCCCTGACGTCCAGTATTGGGTGAGCGTGGCCGTGAGCAGGGAGTCCAGCTCCGTGCGGGGATAATACGCGAGGAGCTCGTTGGCCACGTAGCTCTGCGTCTGGGCCTGGTCGTAGTAGCCGGAGAGATCCACGTTGCCCAGGGCGTTGGCTATCTCCTGGTCTACCTCCGCCCGCGTGTAGAAGTCCAGCAGAGCAGTTATTATCTTGCTGTCGACGACCCCGCTGGGGTCATAGCTCGACAGGGCCGAGGAAATGCTTGAGCTGACGGAGGCAGACGTCGCGTAGTTGGCCAGCTCTCCCGCCACGAAGCTCGAGACCTCGGCTTGGGTCCAATAAGCCAGCAGGGCCTGGTCGATCAGGAACTGCACCCCCGCAGCGTCCTGGTACTGCCCGACGTTCAGGGCAGCGATGGCATCGGAGATGGCGGTGTTCATCTCCGAAGTGCTGCTGTAAGCTCCCAGGGCATCGGCGATGGCCGTGCCCACCTGCAGCGTCGTGCTGTAGGCGGCCAGGGCGGCCAAGATCTCGTTGCTCACCCAGGCCTCGCTGGCCAGGGGAGCCAGCAGGGCGTCCGTTTCCCCTTTCGAGTAGCTGTCCACGGAGAAGCTGAGGGTCCAGTTGTCGTTGGCCAGCTGGATGCTCAGCGGCCCCGTGGCGTGCAAGTTGCGGATCTGATTGGTCCCGGCCAGCAGGTCCCAGGTCACATTCCCGGGCCAGGCCGGAGCATTGACCAAGTTGGTTGCGCCGCCCAGAGTGGCGATCTCTGCCAGGATGGCATCGATGGATGCCTGCAGGGCCGTGATCTCGCTGGGCAGGGCGAAGGGCCCCGCGCTCTGCAGCGCCAAGATGTCGGCGTCGTGGCCGTCCAGCCTGCCGTCACTGAGCGCCAGGGCGGCGTCCAGAGCCGCCTGCTGGACGTAGGCCAGCAAAGCCGTGGCGACCCGCTGGTCCACGTCGGCGGCCGCCAGATCGATCGCCAGCTGATCGACCACCGACTTGAGGGCGTAGTTTGCCGCAACAGTCGCCAAGGTTGCGTTGTTTGTGGAGGCGACATCGCAGCCGTCGTGGGATGGTTGGCCAGCTTGAGGTCCACCGAAGCGGGCGTGCTCTTGGCATTGACCTCCACCTGAAGAGCATCCAGGGCCGACTGGTTGGCCTTGGTGGCCAGGCCCTGGGTCAGGCTCGTGTTCACGGCCACCAACCCGGAAGCGTTGGCCACGATGGAACCCTCTGCCGCGGCGAGGTCCGCGGCCAGAGCATAAGGGGTTAGGTCCGGAGCTGCGGGCAGGGCGGCCACTTGGCCCTGCAGAGCTGCGATGGCGGCGGCGTTGACTCCGATGGCCGCGGTGTTTGCCGTGTGCTCTGTTTGTGGGGTGTAGGCTGTGAGCACCGTCGCCAGCTGCCCAGCACTGATCCCTTGCAATTCAATGACCGGCGGCTCCGTGACGCCATCCTCGAGGATCCTTCCAGTGAGGGTGGAGGGAAAGAGTGACATTTATATCACTCTGACCATTGGTTCACGAGACACGAGGTGCTCGAAGGGGGCAAAAAAGGTGAAAAAATCGCTCAAAACGCCCATATCACTAGTCGAGGACTGAGATGCCGGAGCCCGACAAAGTACAAATTTGGAGACTTACGAGCGCTACAAAACACTGATCGACGCGGTCCGCGAGCATCGACTTGAATGTGAAGCGGCACAGGTCGCCTGAGCGCGTCGACAAACCGCTGGTGGGGTGCTTGGGTACACGCTCCGTGGGGAACGCGGCAATGAAGTGCGTGTTATCATAGTTCGGGAGGCGCATATTTCGTAGCTTTGAATCGTAGGTGCCGGCCATGATACTGAGAAAATGGTGGTATTCGGCGATGCTTTTGACACTGTTTCTGGGGAATTGCATGGCCCCGAGCTGCAGCTGGCCCTCCATGACCGTGGCCGCCGAGACGTTCGGGAAGGCCTCTCCGGGGTACTCGAAGTTGGAAACGTGGTTCTCCCCGGTCTTGTTGAAGTGCACAAAGGCTCCCAAAAGCTTGGTAAAGGCTCGCGCGACGGTGATATTGTAGCTCGTGGAGCCCGCCGGGACCGAGGACTGCTGCACGTGGAGGCTGGGAAAGCTGAAAAGGAGACTGCGATTGGACAAAAGTATGCGCTCGAAGCTCTCCCGGAGGGCACTATCAAGGGTCACCTGATCGGCCAAAAGGTGCACATTTTCGATCTGATACGACAGACTCGAGCCCACGCCGGCGCGCATGGCGTGCTCGGGCTCCGCGAATTCGACTTCGAGGACAAGGTTTAATTGACTTGGGAGCATCTTGCCGCAGTTGAACATGCCAAGAAGATGCGGGTGCATGAGCACATCGCGCTTTTGTCCCGGCTGCACCGGCTGCGCCCAGCCGCCGGCGTCCACCGGGAGGCCCTCCCAGTGCAGCTCAGTCCACCAGTCGGACGGTTTCAGTAGCGAATACATGAAGCAACTGCGCCCGTAGTAGCTGATGTCTTCCACCCGTTGCCCGTTGGCGAAGAGTTGCATCCTCTCGATGAAACACGAGGGGTCCGGCGAGCCGCAGAGCATGTCGCTGGAGCCGTCCGTGTTCCGGAAGCTGAAGGCCAGCTTAATCGATTCAGGATCAACGAAATCGGTCCCGCTTGTGATCGGTATACGACACACCCGCGACGTGCTTGGCGTAAAAGTGCTCAAGGACGACGGAAAGTACTGCACGCTCTTGCGACTCTGAATGTAGTTGGTGTTCCCCGTCTGGAGCTTGTAGTCGAGACTGGCCACGAGCTCGTCATTGACGGCTTGCGTAACCTGCTCCATCACTCTTTACATACCTATGCAGCTTCCGGTTCGCTCGCCTGACGAAGGGCGTCGAAGGACGGCTGGGTGCCCAAAGGCCCGCGGTCGCCGCGGGACTGCCGGCTGACGCGGGAGCGGTCGCTGCCGGACGACACTGGGATCGGGATGTTGTTCAATCCGAAAGGGGTTTGGGCCTGGGCCCTGGGGCGGCGCGCCGGTCGTGCGACGATGCGTTGCTGCGCCTGGGGCCGCGGCTCCTCGTCGGTGTCGCTGAGCGGGAAGGCCTGGGGTCGCCGCGCGGGCTGCTGCCGGCGCTGCTCCTGGATGAAGTAGTGGTCGACGGCGCCCGACTCCTGCATGCCGTTCAGGGTCGCAAGGTCCGTGGTTTGGCTCGGCCGCGAGGCGTCTGAGTCCGTGCCGCCGCCCGTGGCTGCTCCCCAGCCCATCATGTGCGAAGCCGCGTTGAGCCCGCCCTCGATGGCCCAGGCCGTTCCCACGAGCGCTGCGCCTGCGCCCGCAACGGCCAGGCCTCCCGCCGCAGCGCCCACCGTGCCCGCGGCTGCGAGGGCTCCCTCGCCCAGGAGCGCAAGAGCTCCTCCGCCCGCTTCCGCCGCAGTTGCTGCTTCGGCAGCGCTCGCCGCAGCCTCCGCCGCCGTGGCAAAGCCTTCCGCCGCTTCTGCCTCCGCCACCTGCTGCGAAGCAAAAGCCTCGATGTCTTGAGCCGCCGTGCGCTCCACCTCTGCGGCTCTCTGGCCCGCTCGCTCGAGCAGGGGCTCCACCTCGCTGGGCCTCCCGATGATGTTGGGCGGCGGGACCTCGTCCGGGCACGGCGCCAGTCCCGGCGGCCTCCTGGGGATCCTGAGGGTTCTGTCCAACCAATCGCCTCCTCCCCGCAAAATGTTGAAGGTCTGGTTCTCGGCCACGCTTCGGGTCGCCGCCGCGGCGCCCGCAGCCCCTCCGGCGATGATCGCTTCCGCGGCTTGAATGCCCGACTCCCTCATGCGGCCTCCGAGCGTCGGCGGCCTCGGTGCATCGAGCCCGTCGTTGCGCAGGGCCTGGCCTGGATCCATGCCTCCGTCGTCACTGTCCGGCAGAAACGAGGGCCGGGTGAACTCCCTGGGCGGGCGGGGAAACGGAGTTCCGGAGTAGCCCTCATCTCCTGTTTCGAAAGCATCCGCTGGGTTCAACTGCGTGTGGGGCATGGGCGCCTCGCTGATGGGCTCGGGTGCATTGGGGTAATCATCCAAGTAGAAGTGGCTGGATGTGTAGATGCTCGCCTTGCGGTTGGGCAGGGGAATGTCGAGGGGTTCGCCCTCAGCTATGTAGCCGAGGACCGGGTAGCATTTCTACACTATGTACCAACACAGGACTCCCAGCTCGAAGAAGACATGATACTCCCACCGT